GCTGCCCACTCTACACCGACCCCCCTTCCTCCCCCTCTCCTTCTCATTCCTTCACATTTCCTGGTCTCAGCCAGGGAGAAAAACAGAGCAAGCCCAAGCCCCACAGAGCACCACTGCATCCCAGACAATGTCCAGCTTGTTCGGGAAGCGAGAGAAGAAACACAACTCCGAAACATACACGAAACTTCCAAGTGAAGGGCGCTCTGAGGGAAGAACAGGCTAGCTTTGTGTCTGGGTCTGGGCTAAAGGTCCCTCTACAAACACACCTCAGGCTGATCTTCCCTGACCCCCCAGGAAACCATTTCTCAGCCCTGACTGGTCAACTGACCTTGAACAAGAGCCCCCCTCTCCAACTCAGTGTTCCCTCAAAGTACCTCAGACCTGGGGTATGAGATGTTTTTTAAAGTTAGTCTCTAAGTCAGAAAATCCCTCAAGAGAAGCAAGGGGCCATTTCTCAGCACGATGGAACTTTCCAGGCTCCCTACAGAACAGGGGTGATGTGCCTCTCTCTAAGCCCTCAGCCACACAGAAGGGCCTTTCATTTCTCCGGTAATAGATACATATGGCATGGGTAAAGAATGGTTGGTCGCCGGGCGGTGGTGGCGCACGCCTTTAATCCCAGCACTCGGGAGGCAGAGCCAGGCGGATCTCTGTGAGTTCGAGGCCAGCCTGGACTACCAAGTGAGTTCCAGGAGAGGTGCAAAGCTACACAGAGAAACCCTGTCTCGAAAAACCAAAAAAAAAAAAAAAAAAAAAAAAAAAAAGAATGGTTGGTCAAAAAATCCAGGGCCCAGACTCTCCCTCCCCAGGCAGTATGGAATGGGAATGCCAGGGTCTCCCTCCTCACACACACACAACCTTGGAGCTCCTAAGGATGCTCACTCCCCTGATCCCTGTGCTGGCCTAGCCCAGTCTACCATGACTAAGCAGAGAGCGACACCTGCTGGGCTGTCAGGCTCTGACAGAGCTGAGGTTGAGGTGTGGAGGCCAGGGGTACTGCCTCCACGAAGGATGCTCTGTGTGGCTGAGGCTCCACGTATCCTTTAGTTCCCTCGGCCCCATCCCCAAGTCTTCCTTCCTTCTTCTTAGACCGAAAGTAAATGCTGATGTCACTGAACATGGGGCACGGGGTCACACAGTGCATGTCTCAGAAGGTGAGTGTGACATGGTTGTGGACCCTCCAAGGCAGTGGTACCATGACGCCCGCCCGAACCATCTTTACAAGCTGGCTGAAGACCACTGTTCCAGTTGGTAGCTTGAGAAGGTCCGTTATGTTAGCTGGCTGGAGTTGGGGTTACCTACGGTGCAGGGGAGACCCTTAAGTGGTGTTTGCAACCAATCTGTGTACGTAAACGACAGCTGACCAGCTGGTGACAATCAGGAAAGATTGACTTTCCCATTCACACGCAGCTGCATTTGGTCCAGAAGAGGACCACGGGAGTCCTGGGTTCTCACTTCCTGGTGTTAGGTGCTCATCTCACAGCCTGCTTAAGGGCTGTGATTTGTCAGAAAAACACACACACACACACACACACACACACACACACACACACACACACACACACACATATTACACAACACTGACTAGAATCAGGAAGACAGCCCTAGTTAACCAGAGATGCCAGGCAGTGGTGGCACACACCTTTAATCCCAGCACTTGGGAGGAGGAACATTAGGAGTTCAAAGCCACCCAGGGCTACATGAGATTGAATCAGTCTAAAAGAGAAACAGAGCTGGGCAGTGGTGGCACCTGCCTTTAATCCCAGCACTAGGGAGGTGGAGACAGGTATATAAGGCGGGTGGAGACAGGATCACAGCCCCCCTTTCAGTCTGAGATTTCGTAGAGGCACGAACTCTGTGGTGGCTGCTGCTCTGCTTCTCTGATCTTTCAGCTTTCACCCCCGATATCTGACCCCAGGTTTTCATTGGTAAGACTAATTAGGATCACGCTTCAAGCCAGGGCCTTGAATCTTGCCTAAAACCACATGATCCTTGCTAAAATATACACAGTTCCTGGATTGGAAGTGGGTGGCACACCCAGATTCCATCAGGGAAGCTGCATACTTTGTCATTTCTCTGCATCCGGAGGGCTGTACTAGGGTTCTCGAAAGGAATGACTCTCTCTCCCCTCTACTTCCTTCCTTCCCTCCCTCCCTCTCTCTCCCTCCCCTTCTCTTTCCCCTCCCTCCTCTCCTCTCCCCATCTCTTACTCCACCATCTTCATTCCCCTCCTCCCTCCATCCCCTCGCCTCCCCCTCCTGTGTCTTTAGTGTACTTGAACATGTCTAGGGGATAGAGTTCAAACACTCATCATGGCTGTTGCTGCGTGCATGTTTGCATATGTGCATGTGTGTGTTGATGGGTATCGAGCATGCTAGGAAAACACTTGAGCACTGAACCACATCCTAGCCCTTTACATGGCTTCTTGATGAGATTAAGAGACACAGTGAATGCTAAGTGTCTGAGGCTGCTGAGTGAGTCCATGGTGGACTGTTTTAATGATATGTTTCTTGTAAGTAGTAACAGATGCCAAAACAATAACACAAAGTGTAGTGGAGGAAATACATTGTAACAGCCATTTATTGTCATTTCCAGGTGTTATGTACCATATGCATAATTATATTCCCCACACTTTTGTACTGGTATGAGTGACATGCAGTGAATCTGTTTGTACCAGCGTCATTACAAACAGGTGAGAAATGTGTTGCACTGGGACATTGCAGGGTCACTAGGCCATAGGGAGTTTTCACCTCCACTATAAACTTATTGTTATATATGTGCTCCACCATTGACCAAATTGTCATTCTATACCATTCCATTTTCAGCAGAAGACATGCCCTTGCGTGACTGTGTGTCAGAGGGAGGGGGAGGGGGAGAGAAAGAAAGAAAGAAAGAAAGAAAGGAAGAAAGGGAATAAGGACAATGTAAGTGGAAGCTGTGGTCCCCAGAGCTGCAGAGAGACTAGTAAGGAGGCCCAGGGGAGCTGGCTGTCATCTTCAGTTTGAAGCTCCACGTGTTCAAGTCCCAGAAAAAGCTTAGGCTCCAGGTCAAGTCCAAAGGGAGGAAAAACCAGCTGGAAGGCCACCAGGGAAGAAGTCTCTCTCCCTCAGGAGAGGGTCCTTTTCCGTTCAAGCCTTCAGGCGGTTGCCTGTGACCTACCCACACTGCAGAGGGGAGGGCCATCTCAGTCTACAGATTCCAGTTTCTATGAGAAGCTGTGAGAACAGTGAGAACAGTAGCCCCTGAGCATCTGTGGTCCACCTGGCACCTATCACTAGCTCTCACAGGAATTCATTAGGATGAGTCTCCACTGGCTAGAAGATGGGAGGACCAACGTACCGGTCACCTTTGAATTAAGCTAAGAAACGACTGAAGGTTCCTGAGGCAAGGATTCTTGGAGGAAACACCCCAGCAACCCACTGCACCCTCTGGTTGTGCGACGTGATTTCAGAGCCTTGGGGCATGGATTCTATCATGTTCTCTCTTCCACCTCGATGTGCCTTACCTGTCCAAATAACACCTCTGCTCCCTCCTCCAGGTGAACTATGACCACTTTACTATTGGTCTTTGTGACTCTGAGGGTCATCGCGGCAGTGATCTCAGAAGAAATTCCAGGTGAGAACAACTCCAGGCATGGCTTCCTTACTCAGTGGTGGGCGAGTGCTGGGCTCTGAGTATAGGACACAACTTTGTTCCCGGACACAGTCCCCCCCCTCCCCCTTCTTTTGGCCTCTCCCTGGCCCCGCCCCTTTCTAGCTGCAGTGGGAAGGGCACCCACACACGGGCACATAAACCCAGAGCCTGGCCTACAAGCATCCACAGGTGCCCTCTAGCAAGGACAGTTGCTGGGCCTCCTTCACAGAACCCTCTCCTTGGGGGATCTCATTCAGAACTGCTGCACAGTGAGAATGGGGTAGAGAGAAGCCACGGAGAACAAGAGAAAGGCAGTCAGGGAGCATCAAAGAGGAGGGAAGAACCTGAGGAACACAGGTGAAAAGTCTGGTCTTCCCTCTAGAAGCGAGGGCACAGCCCTGCTGTAAGCCCCCCACCCCTGGCTCAAGGGAAGGGTGAGGAACTCGACACCTGGTGTGGAGATCTGGAATCCCAGGGCTAAACATGTTTGTGAGACCTCCCTCACAGTGCGGGGGACAAGAGGAGACTTGGTCCCTCTTCCTCCCACCCACCCACTGTATCCCAATGCAAAACTCAAGGACTTCAGGGTCGTGGTAAAAAGATTTCCATGGTCAAATGGAAAGACACATAATATTTTATTCAGTCACTTATTTGGCCTGATTCACAGTTTTTGAATATGTAGATGTGGGCAGTAGCTGGACCTCCATTGGTGCTCAGGGACCCACGAATCTCCAGACGCTGGCTGTCACCCAGGGACATGTGTCCACATCAGCAAGATGGTCCACTGAGAGGGATAGTTGGGAGCTTTAACAACCACCAAGTTGGACTCAATGGTGGCCTCCAGCTATTCCCAGAGACCACCACTGCAGAGTCAAGCTGTGGCTGGTAGCATCAGGGCTGGGCAGCAATGGAGGTGTTTGCGGAAGGATGGTGGGGTCCGTCCAGACATCGAAAGGTCCAGGCTGGACTCCAGACATTCCTGCCTCACCCCCTCACCCTGTCCTTACCCTGCCATGTATTCACCAGCCACATCCATCTTAAACATTTTTATTTCAACACATAGGGTGCCCTGAAAGGAAGGGTTCTGTACATTTAAGACCTTCCATGAAAGGTGCTGTGTGGAAGACTGTTTCTCTCTCATTCCAACAGGATTTGGGAAACACCGCATCTTCTCTATTGACACACTTCATAATTTCTATGTTGTCTAGTCCTACCCAGTCAGATTCCCAGATGTGACTCTACAGACAAAAAAAAAAAAAACACAAAAGTCTGGCCTGTTCTTTCCCCATCTCCTCGCCCTTTACCTCAAAAGCTTTGTCCTCCTACAAGGTCCAGCTGAAACCCAAAGCAGACCTCGCAGGGTGGGATGGATACATCTTTGAAATTCTGTATCTCAAATTTAACGATTGTGTAGACTTTTGTATGCCCCTTGATAATTATTACACCCCGTGTTTTGGATGGTTCTTGCCTCTGTGAGAAAATGTCTCAGGAAACAGCTTGCTTGTGGCAAGACAGAAATATTATGCCTGAAGGTACAGTGGAAGAGAGTTGTCCACCTCCTGGCTGCCTGGAAGCAGAGAGATAGACAGGCAGACAGACAGACAGACAGACCGACAGAGACAGAGACACACAGAGAAGGGGGGCAGTGAAAAGGATGTGCCTTTCAAATTCACACCTCCAGTGATCCATTGCCCTCCAATGAGGCCCCACATCCCAATTCAGCTCTGAACCGACCGATGGATGAATTCATTGATGAGGCTGGCATCCTTATTATCCAATCACCTCTCAATAACACTGCCAAACTTCCTACACATGGACCTTTTGTGGGGAACTCATCATATCCAAAATAAATACCCCAATAATTTTTTTTCTAAAATCTCAGAATCAAACATGTCACTACCCTAAGAACAGGAGTCCTGTTTATCTATGGTTTGGCACCCCCGAGGTGTCTGTAGTTTGAGGTCTTGGCTGTGATGTCTCTCCCATGCTCCTTTGGAACCCTTTTCTGGCTCTATGGTTTGTCTTAAGGAGCAGACACCAGAGACCTTGAAGGATGCTGATCTGGAGAGAGTGTTGTGAGGCTTCCTGGAAGTCCCCAGGCTCCCCCATGGTGGGCAGATTGGGATTGGGTCCTCTCAGATGGCTGCATTTCCAGGACCTCTGGGTGGCTTGTGGTCTCAATTATCCTAACATGTCTGTTGTCTTCCCACCCTTCCCTGACAGACCATGACAACTCACTGAGCGTGAGCATCCCTCAACCATCCCCACTGAAGGTCCTCCTAGGGACTTCCCTCACCATCCCCTGCTACTTCATCGACCCCATGCATCCTGTGACCACTGCGCCCTCCACTGCCCCCCTTGCCCCAAGAATCAAGTGGAGCCGCGTTTCCAAGGAGAAAGAGGTCGTACTGTTGGTGGCCACTGAAGGACAGGTTCGAGTCAACAGCATCTACCAAGACAAGGTGTCATTACCCAACTATCCAGCCATCCCCAGTGATGCCACCTTGGAGATCCAGAACCTTCGCTCCAATGACTCTGGGATCTATCGCTGTGAGGTGATGCATGGCATTGAGGACAGCGAAGCCACCCTGGAGGTCATAGTAAAAGGTAAAGGCCTCCCATGCGGATGCCATGTTGTCTGTAGAAAGAGTTGGAATGATATCCTCACCAGTGTGGACCTTGGTGGCTAGCTTTCCTGCTTAGCCCCTCTATATACCCATTTTTATTCTTGGCTTCCTCTGATGTGGAGCTGACAATGCTATGCTCTGTGGGGTTGGAATGCTGGGGCAGAGCACATAAATGCATCCTGGCATTGGCAGTTAGTGTTTGCCAACAATCCTTGACTTGTTGGGTTTATCAGCTTTTCTTGTTGCTGTGGTCAAATACCCGACAGGAATCAGCTTGGGGGAGTAAGGAGTTATTTTACCTCACAGTTTGAGGAGGTACAATCCACCATGGTGGGGACTATACGGCAGTGTGAGTGTGCAGCAGCTCATCATACTGCTTCAAAAGTCAGGAAGCAGAAAGATGAATCCAAGTGCTCAGCTTGCTCCCTTTCTCCTTCTTCTTTTTTATATTCACTCTGAGACCCCAGACCATGGAACGGTACCCCCTACAGTCAGGGTGGGTCTTTCCTCTTCAGTTAATCCTCGCAGACATACCCAGAGGGGTGTGCCCTACAACATGTGGGCCTTGTAAGTGTGCCCACTCTGCACCTAAGTGGATGAATCAAATACCACGTCTGATGTGACCCTAGAAATGAATGAGAGTGGCTTCTGAGCATATCATCCAGGCATCTCCTCCTCCTCCACCACCCCTGTATTCTCAGCTTCAGAGGCTAAAGAAATGGCTGAAGACTCACTCCCTGGTCTCCCTTCTCTCTAAGAGAACTCATTAGGATGTCCTTGATCTACCGGGGACATGGAACTCTCAGTGTCTCCTTCTCTGGGAAAAGAAAAAAGAAAAAGAGGGTCCTGGAGTGGCAAAAAAATTACCAAGAGACAGCTTTTGCCTTAGTTCAAAGAACTTTCTTATTGTCAGAATTACGATAGGTGTTCTAGAGGCAATGCCTTGTGAGGAGGTGGTACGCACCCTGTTAAGGTGGTTGGGTGAGATGGGGTAGGATGGAGAGGAGAGGAGAGGGGGGTTCCAGCAAGAGCAAAAGAACCACGTGCAACTTCAGCAGCTGAGGAGTTGTTGAAAGCTGATGGTTGACCACACTCCAGGGGATGGCCCCACACCCATGAGTATACAGGCCACAAAAGGTGGACTCCGTGGGACGGGTGGATGGAATATTGGGGGTAAAGCTGGAAGGAGTTAGGGAGAGGATTTTGGATAAATGTGATCAAAATACATTGTTTGAATGTATGAAATTCCCCAAGAATTAATAAAATATTATAATAAAGAAGTCAGAGAAGGAAACCATGTCAGCCTGGACCAGAGCTGTCCAGGGTCGCTTTGATTCTTGCCACTGTTTCTCTAGCTCTTCGGGAACCAGAGCTCACACCTCACCCCGCTCCGGTCTGTGTGTCCCCCAGGTATCGTGTTCCACTACAGAGCCATCTCCACACGCTACACGCTGGACTTTGACCGAGCACAGCGGGCCTGCCTGCAGAACAGCGCCATCATCGCCACACCTGAGCAGCTGCAGGCTGCCTATGAGGACGGCTTCCACCAGTGCGATGCGGGCTGGCTGGCTGACCAGACCGTCAGGTGAGACCCCCGTCCCCAGAAGAAGAACCGTCAGAGCTGAGGTCCGGGTATCAGAGGCCTAGCAGAATGGGGCAGGCGATGGTGTGGGACACGGACCAGTACTTAGCTAACATGAACATGACCCTATGGCCAGTCTAGGTTAGGGATCGGGGTCCAGCCTTGTCAACATCCTAGGTCACCATTATTCTCTCTCCCAGGAGAAATAATACCAACAGCCTTGTTCTGAACTTCACTACTCTCTTGACCCATTTTTTTTCTGTTGCCGGTGTTTCTTTACTTCCGGTTTGTTTGTCCGTCTTTAACTTGAGAGTTTTATTTATTTTTGTATATTTATATATATATATATATATTTATTTATTTATTTGTGTCCCTTTTTGTAAGACAAGACATACGTAAATCAAGCAACTAGATGCGTCTTTTTCTGAGTGAGTCCTGGGAGCCACATGGCAAGGCAGTGCAGATAGAGGCCTACTTCAAGGACCCCAGAAGAGTGTTCCGAGCTTGCAAAGACAGACTGCCCACCCCATGTGCATCACAGTGCTAGCTCCAAAGCCAACATATAAGGCCTCAGGAAGACAGCTTTGCAAGATTTGGCAGGCCGGGGGATCTTAGGTCACAAGGCCATATAGCACTGTTATGGTTTCATCTCTGATCAAAAGCAACTTGGGGAGGAAAAGGTTCATTTCAGCTTCTTCTAGGTCAGGTTCCATCATTGAGGTAAGTGAGGGCCAAAACATAGAGGAGTGTTGCTTGTGACTCACTGGCTCACCCACAGACCCATGCTCAGTTAGTTTTCTTACACATCCCAGGCTCACCTGTCTAGGGATGGTGCCACCCATGGTAGGCTGGGCTCTCCTGCACTAATCATAGATCGAGACAACCTCTCACAGACATGGCCACAGGGTAATCTGGGCATCCCCTCAACTGAGACTTCTCCAGACGATTCTAGGCTGTGTCAAGTTGACAGCTGAAGCTAACTGGAACAAACCACCAAAATCAGTAAATAAAAAAGTATTGATACGTGAGACAACCATCTAATATGTCAACAGTTCACATACTGGCCTCAGAAAGAGCTGGACTCAAATCCCAGCACTGGAATTTGGAAGCTGTGTGACTTTGAACAAGTCAATTAATATTTCTTGACCTTAGTTTAAGTGTACAATAGAGTCCAGCTCTTGCCTCACTTAGTGACTTAAGACTCAATGGTACAAAGTGGGCACCTTGGCCAAATCCAACCCAACGCATCCTTAGTTTCTATAATAAAGTTGTGTTGAAACACAGCCATGCCCCCTTGGTTACATGCTGTGTGTAGCTGCTCCATGCTGCTCGTGAAAGTGCTCACCACAGAGGCCTATGGTTTACAAACCCCACAAGACTCTGGCCTTTTACATGAAAGGTGTCTGGCCCCAGAGAGAGAGTGTTTGGTGTCAAGAATACGCAATAACAGGGGCTGTCTCAGCGGTAAGAAGCATTGAGATTGGAGGGGCAGCCGGCGTTCCGAGAAGACTTGGACTGAGGTAGCATCACGCCTTTGTTTCCACCTATGAAGGTGAAGGCTACAAGAACAGTGACCTTGGGCTTCCTCTGTTTCCAGTGTCACACTTCCTTGCTGGCTTCCCAACAGGTACCCCATCCACACTCCTCGGGAAGGCTGCTATGGAGACAAGGATGAGTTTCCTGGAGTGAGAACCTACGGCATCCGAGACACCAATGAGACCTATGATGTGTACTGCTTCGCTGAGGAGATGGAGGGTGAGGCTACACCTCCCATTAGGAGAAAGCCAGCTCCCTTCAAGATGCGTTTTCCTTCCACATCACCATGCTCACATTTGGAATAGCTACACAAGGCCTCCTCTGGGCCAGGGCCCTCGCTCTGTCCCCTCCTGCCACGAAGAGAGATGGTCTCTTGCTGGGATCCTCACTATCCACTTTGGAGGGGTCTCAGTGGCCACAGGCATCTGCAAACCATCTGGTACTCCCACCCAACTCCACGTTCCAACGTCCTCTGGGACTGTGCCTCTTACCCAGAACCTCAGTGTCTCTGGCCAACCCAGCCCTGCCTTAAGGTCCATGTTGTCATCAAAGCCAGGCTCAGGACTGGAGTGTAGCTCAGTGGCAGACCCCGGGCTCCATTTCTTACTCAAGAGGGACACCCTAGGCCACTCTGAGTTGGACACCACAGACACATAGTTTCCAGGAAACACTTTTCCCAGCCCCTCTCTCTCCACTTTCCTGCCCCCAGCTTGAAGTCCTATGTCAGGCCTTTGGATAGGATGTTTGGAGGAGAAACCTAGACCATTTCTCTCTTTTATAAGGGTACTAATTTTGAACATAGTGTTACCCTGACATGTAGATGACACCCCTCTCCCATCTGCACCCATTTATCACTCTGGACATCCCCCACACTCTCTGAACATGCCTCCCAGAGCTCCCAAGCTCCTCCAGCTGGGAGAAAAGTTGGTGGGGACATACCCCAACCTTCTTACCACCTTCCAGTTCTCATCTCAGGAGCCAAACCCTCTACTAAGTAACAAGCTTTTGTGCTCCCATGTTTGACTAACCCAAGACAAATATAACAGTTGGTCTGAACTGCCACTGAACAAGGATACCTGGAATGAGTGATCAGATACCCCCCACCCACCCACACACCCCCCAACACAGCATTCTCAAACAACTTTGGCAGTTTTTAGGAAATCTTGTTTAAAAGCTAGCAGACCTAAAATTATCTATAATGGCCTCTTTGGGTACTATTGGCCCTGGTTTGGAAGCCAGTACTCTAAGGGGTCAAAGGTGAGGCCTGCTTTTCTAATCAGAATTTGAATTGGGGATGGTTTCCTAGAAATGGGCGGCGCCTGTGTTAACAGAAAGCTCCCCTAGTGGTGGGAGGATGAACAGCAATTACCCGGGCCACAGGTGATTCTGATTTCACGGTTGCTCCACCCCTTGCTCTTTTGGCTGCTTTTCTGTTGGGGATGGGGTGGGGAGGACCTTGTTAGGAGATTGATGTCATCCTACCCAAAAGTCCAGAAAGGAATGGAGACTGGGGCGTGACAGACAAGCTGTGAGATCCTAATGTGGGACCACGGGGAAAAAAGCATAAACCGCCGATAAAACATGCGTACCTCTTGGGGACACAGGCTGGGTGGGATGGGTGTGAAACCCTAACCCAGTGTGGTGTGTCCTTCACAGGCGAGGTCTTTTATGCCACATCCCCGGAGAAGTTCACCTTCCAGGAGGCAGCCAATGAGTGCCGGAGGCTGGGGGCGCGGCTGGCCACCACAGGCCAGCTCTACCTGGCCTGGCAAGGCGGGATGGACATGTGCAGCGCCGGCTGGCTGGCCGACCGCAGCGTGCGCTACCCCATCTCCAAGGCTCGGCCCAACTGTGGAGGCAACCTCCTGGGTGTGAGGACTGTCTATCTGCACGCCAACCAGACAGGCTATCCTGACCCCTCATCCCGCTATGACGCCATCTGTTACACAGGTGGGACTGGGGCTGAAGGTGGGGAGGGGGTTCTACCGCCACAGCAGGTCCCAATAAGATCTTGGGAAGGTACCACTGAGTTCCTGAACCGCGCATTTTTATCATCTCCCTCCCCGTTTTCACTGGTTCTTAAAGCAGAGACGGTGGAGGCCACCGTGTATCCAGCCCTGTCTCATTGGATCCCCACAGAACAGCGTTTAAAGCCTATGTTCAAAGAGCCGCAGTTTTCTGGGTTTGATTCCCAGCTCTTCCCCTTTGCTGCACAAAGCTGGCGAAGTCAACACCCTGAACCCCTCTGATAGAGAGGAGGTGGGCCTGTTAGCAGGCAGGAGCCCGCTGGTACCTTCCCTTTTAATCTGGGTGCACCTAAACAAAGTGTTTCTGTAAGAGTAAGGGAAAGCTCTCTGACTTCATTTGGAAAAATTAGAACAAATTTTTTAAGTAAGTTTTTATCATCTATTTAACACACCATAACTGATCCCTAATTCTTGGAGGAGAAAATGAACAGCATAAGTTAGGTAAACGCATTGCATACACGTTACAATATGATTGTTGACAATACAGGGGCAGCTCATTTCTTATTTCACTTCTACAGCCTGATCGTATGTGAAGAGGGACCCCCTCTTTCCCAAAAGCCTCTATCCACTCTTTGGAAGTACCACCCTCATGCACACTCTCTTTTTTAATAACCCCCTTGTGTCTGCCAGCGCCTCATCCGTCCAGGACTCTGAGGCAGGCCGTTCGCCAACAACAGCGCTTGCACAGCTCACCTCTGCAAGACTCAGGAGTCCCCTTTATCGCTGGTTCACATCGTCCCATTAGACACGCATGGGGGGGGGGGCGACGTGGTGGCTGGTGGGGAGGTGGAAATGGGAACTGATTTGATTTGATACGCAGTGAGCTGGCTGATCAATATACCATGAGCATCTCAGCGTGTCTACCAAGTCGACCAACCTCAGGCTTTTATTAATAATTTAACTGCAACTATACTGAATACGTGCAGGGTTTTTCCTGCCATTGTCCCCCAAACAGTACACTGCATCAGCTATTGAAATAGCACTTTCTACTGTGTGAGGAATTAGAAGCAACCAAAAGCTGGCGTAAGAGTCCAGCAGTGGTGCAGAGGTTATATAAGGGACTCTCGCATTCTGTGGGAGGTTCTGGAACCACCCTGAGGGTATGGAGGAGCCACGTCACTCAGATACCTAGGGCCTTTGTGGTGGGCAGGGCCAGGTGCCTGGATCCAGCCAAACGGGAGGAAGTCAGGCACATTCGGCTCTGTCTCCTCGCAACAGTCCCACGCTGAGCACTAACGCCTGTCTTTGCATCCTGTCCCAGGGGAAGACTTTGTAGACATCCCAGAAAACTTCTTCGGGATGGGCGGTGAAGACGACATCACCATCCAGACAGTGACCTGGCCAGACCTGGAGCTGCCCCTGCCCCGAAATATCACTGAGGGAGAAGTCCGGGGCAATGTGATCCTCACCGCAAAGCCCATCTTCGACCTGTCCCCCACTATCTCAGAGCCGGAGGAGGCCCTCACAGTTATCCCTGATGTGAGGGCCACAGCCTTCCCTGAGGCTGAGGAGAGAACTGAAGGGGCCACCAGGCCCTGGGGCTTTCCTGAGGAAAGCACACGTGGACTGGACTCTGCCACGGCCTTCACCAGTGAGGACCTGGTGGTACAAGTGACCCTCGGGCCAGGTGCAGCTGAAGTCCCTGGCCAGCCCCGCTTGCTGGGGGGTAAGTACACTCCCGGGGGACAGGCAGGGCAGTTAGGTCCACTCTTTGACTACAAATCACTGATTCCAAATGAAGTCACCTGGGGAAACCAAAGTGTATATCAAACAGATGACAGCGCCCCGTGGCTCAAAACAAACCAGACCCACTTGAATACCACTGCTCTGGATGACCCCATGGCCTTGCCTGGCCTTGTCCTCCCACCAGGATTAAAAATCAACAGCGTTTAGTGAGCAGGCTGAATACAGCTGTTCTGAGGTAGCCTGTAAACTAAGAATGCCTCCACATTCCTAAATAATTGAGGAAAGGGGGTCAAAAGGAGAAAGCTATTTGGTGATACGTGAAAATTATCTAAGTTTCAAATGTCAGTGCCCACAAATAAAGATTAGATCAAAGCCACAGCCACTCTTTAAGACTTTGTCTGTGGCTAATTCAGGGCAGTTGTGGCTGAGTTGAGCAATTTGTCACAGAAATCACAGGGCCCACAAAGCCTATTCTAGAAACAAGGTGTGATGGTACATATCTTTAATCCCAGCACAGAAGACTGAGGCAGGAGAGCTGTGAGTTCAAGACCAGTCTGGTTTATATAGCAAGACTCTTTCTCAAGAAGAAGGAGGAGGAGGAGGAAGAGGAGGAGGAGGGGGGAAGGAGGAGGAGGAGGAGGAGGAGGAGAGGGGAAGGAGGAGGGGGAGGAGGAGGAGGAGGAGGAGGAAGAGGAGGAGGAAAAGGGAGAATAGGGAGAAGAAGAGCCCGATATAGTTATCTGGTTCTTTCTGGAAAACACTTGCAACCCTTGGGCTAGGTAGATGGTGTTCTCTGTACTCAGGAAATATCTCGAGGGGTGGGGATATCAATCAGTACAGAGCCCAGCTGATCATGAATGCAAATCTACAAACAGAAAGAACATTCTGGTGTAGTCTCCATAAAGGGCCTTGATGGTGTCCCCACCTGGGATAGACAGATGGACCCTGCCATCTCCCATGACACTCACGGCATCACCAAGTAGAACTTCGGGTGGAATTGTCCAGCTCTATCCATTATGTCTAAATGGAGGGGCCAAACTTCGAACAAGCCCCACGAGCATCAATCTTAACCTCTGTTTCTTTCTCCCCTCTCCTTGCCACCCAGGAGTTGTATTCCACTATCGCCCGGGCTCCACCAGATACTCTCTGACATTCGAGGAGGCACAGCAGGCCTGCATGCAGACCGGGGCGGTCATGGCCTCACCCGAGCAGCTCCAGGCTGCCTATGAGGCAGGCTATGAGCAGTGTGATGCTGGCTGGCTGCAGGACCAGACTGTCAGGTAAAGGACAAGCTTACCATTCCCAGCCCCCACCAAGAAGCCCCCAGCCTGATACAACATCCAGCAGGATGCCCCCGCCCCGCGTTTTGTAGGTTAATGAACTCACTGGTGATTGCATTGTTCCCTAAATTCCACACACGCCCCTAGGCCAAGGCATGTTCTGAAAGATGGTGGCAGGAACTAGGCTCTACCAAGTTCTTAGTCATTTCCCTTCAAGAAACAAACAGAAGAAGCCCCTGGAGACCCTCTCCAAGCACCTCCATATCCTGCAGCTTGACAGAGTGCCTGCCCTCTTGTGTAGAAGACTCTCTTCTGAAGTCTGTCAGATGCTCAAGAGAGTTGATACAAACACATGACCCAAGATGTGCCTTTCCTATCCCCAGGACGGGCCCTCACCCCCGCTTCCCCTCCTCTTTCACAGATACCCCATTGTGAGCCCTCGGACCCCATGTGTGGGTGACAAGGACAGCAGCCCCGGGGTCAGGACCTACGGCGTGCGCCCGTCATCAGAGACCTATGATGTCTACTGCTACGTGGACAAGCTTGAGGGTACGGGCTGTATTACCACATTCCCATCTCCAGACCCGCAGGGACTAGGGGAGAGTCACGAAAGGGATAGAATTGCCACCACACACCCAGGCCTGCTCCCACATGGCTTTCCAGGTGGAAGAGGCCCACCCACCCCTCATTTCTTTCAATTCAAGCACCTTCTCCCCACCAAAGGCTCATATGATGTCCCCCTCACATTGTAGTAGGACATTGATCATTCAGAAGGCCTTGCATTCGGTGGCTGATTTGATTGATTTCTAATAAATAAATGTTAGACACACCTTCTGCCTTATAGAGTCCCGATGCCCATGAACAAACCTGAGGCTGTGAGAATTCCTGTAGCCCCAAACCGCTTCAACTCTCTATAACTCAACACTGCTCAAGCTCATTCAACAACACACCTCCATGAATGTCACCAAATTGCTTCTCCACTGAACTCAATTTGAAAATTGCCAGTGTTCTAGAAAAGTGTAAACATGGCCACTCTGCCTCTGTAGGCCTCAGTTCCCCCATCTGTAAAACACTCCTGCTTTATACCCACATTCGAGGTTTTTCTGAATATTGAGACATGTAAAAAGTGCCTGGTATAAACAAAGGCTGGGTAGATGTGAGCTCCCTAACCCAGATAGGGCCCTGGGTGATATGTGGGTGCTGAGACCCCAGAGGAATGTGAGTCAGGTCCACGGTAGTCACTGAGCTCCATGGGGGATCAGGGAGCTAAGAGCACTTGGGATTTGGGTAGCCAGCTGGGGCACCTCTATTTGTCAAAGGAAGGGTACCTAGGTATGATTGGAGAGCCTAAATAAGGAAGGGTAGAAGCCAGGTCCCCAAAGACTGACTAGCTCCCCCCAGCTCAACTGTGACTTTTTTTTTTTTTTTAGCAAGGGATGTCCCAAATCCCAGGAAATTCCCACTCATCACAAAGTGGAGCCCCTGGTCTCTATTGCCCAGGATCCCAAGAGATCTAAGGGGTGTGGCCTTGGGGGTGTGCCTGAGTGGGGCTGGGACCTATAGGAGTGTGTGCTATAGGTGGGTGATCAGGCCTGGTGAGCAGGGTAGGGGTGCCAGGAGTTCTGTCCCAGGGCAGTAGGAACAGGATTCTTCTGATGACGCATTTGAACCATCACACTGCCATTGTCTCTGTCCCCAGGGGAAGTGTTCTTCGCCACACGCCTCGAGCAGTTCACCTTCCAGGAAGCGCAGGCCTTCTGTGAAGCCCAAAATGCCACCTTGGCCTCCACTGGCCAGCTCTACGCTGCCTGGAGCCGTGGCCTGGACAAGTGCTATGCTGGCTGGCTGGCAGATGGCAGCCTCCGATACCCCATCGTCACCCCTCGGCCTGCCTGCGGTGGGGACAAACCGGGCGTGAGAACTGTCTACCTCTACCCCAACCAGACCGGCCTCCCAGACCCATTGTCCAGGCACCATGCCTTCTGCTTCCGAGGTACTGTAGTCACCCCGTCTGCCTGGAAGGACTTCCTTACCGTGTCCTCTATAAATAGTGGCAAAATGGTCCCTACTTCAAAGAAAAGTTGCATACAAATATTAATTGGGGTAGTGTATGCAGAAACACTCCATATGTGTTTATATACAATGTTACATATTGTTTTAATTTGTATATTCTTGTCAAGTTCTCATCTTGTAAATACTTTTGTAATGAGTTAATCAAATAATCCTGGCGTCCTTCTTCAAGCACTGGCCACCTACATGCTTAATTGACACATTGTATAGGCACTACCACTGTAGTATCAGCCATCTTTACCAGTTAGACAGTCGAGAGTGAGATGCTAGGCTCTGATTGGTTGAATTCTCACAGCATCCATATAGGGTAATGATGCACCCACCAGAATGGAGATTGGAGGCTACCTGTTTTCAGCATAACACATCAAAGCTGCGTGTCCTTATAACTTCTTGTGAATCTAGAATTACTTTAACTTTTCAAGATTTATTTTTACCAATTTTTAATTGTGTGCTTGGAGAGTGGGTACATGCACGTGAGGGCAAGTGCCCTTGGAAGCCAGAGGCATCAAATATCCCTGGAGGTGGAGTGCAGATAGTTGTGAGCTGCTGTCATGGGTCCTGGGAGCCAAACTCAGGTCCTCTGCAAGAGGAATACACACTCTTAACCACTGAACCAGCCCTCCAGAATTGTTTTTAGCTAATGGGGGAAAAACTGATGGCCTCCAACTTTCCCGGACTTCTAGGGACACTTTTTACACTTTTTAACTTTCTTTCTTTCTTTCTTTCTTTCTTTCTTTCTTTCTTTCTTGCTTGCTTGCTTGCTTGCTTGCTTTATTTATTTATTTATTTATTCACTCATTCATTCATTTATTCATTTATTTATATTTTGAGAAAGGGTCTCATATTGCCAAAGTTGGCCTTGAACTCCTGATCCTCCTGCCTCAACTTCCTTTTGCCCCTGTCCCAGACTAGGTCTTTACAGTGGGCAACAGAGGTCAAGCCAGTAAACCCTCCCAGTAAATTTCCAACCGTAACTTCCACCGCCCATCCTAGACCTTCAGGGGACTCAAAGATCTTTTTTGTTTGCTTATTTGTCTGTTTGTTTTAAGACGGGGTCTCGTTATGTAGCCTTGGCTGACCTGGAACTTGCTGTGTAGACCAGGCTAGCCTTGAACTCATGGAGATCTGCCTGCCTCTGCCTCCCGAGTGCTGAGATTAAAGGTGTGTGCCACCATGCCAGGCTTTAAGCCTCTCATCACCCTGCAGAGAAGTTCTGGTTCCTTATTGACCTCCTCCAGGTCAGGGGCTCCCTCCAGTCAGAAGTTACCCTGACCACTGCCAATGCCATGACAGCTGTGTGGAATTTAAAGATGAGCCTCTCATTTAGGGAACTGGCACACTCAGAACCTAGCTCTGCCTTCGAGGTGGGCAGTATCATGTTAGATCTTGAACAGAAAGATTAGCCCTGGTACTTCTAAGCCATTGACCTTGGGCGAGTCACATAACAAGTCCCCACGTGTTAGATGAATCTCTTCTTTATTGAGGTAAAACGTGTTTATAAGCATAAAGGTTTTATTTGGGTCCAGCATATACAATGGACTGTAGAGAGCAACATCCCAGACCACTCAGTCCTAAGCTGCTGGGGACAGAGGATACACCGTGGCATTATACAATAGATACAAATGGCAAACAGCTATCCTGCTGACTTAGAGGTTGGAGTGGGTCAGCAAGGCTCTTTGTACTGGCCAGGTGTCCCTCAGGACCTCCCCTTGCTTCTCTGGTCCTGAAGGGCAGGGTGGAAATGGGCTCCTGTCAAAGGCAGGACCTCACCTCCCACATCTCCTTCAGGTGTGTCAGTGGTGACCTCTCCAGGACAAGAAGAAGGTGGCATTCCCACATCACCCTCCGACATAGAGGACTGGATCGTCACTCAGGTGGGGCCTGGTGTGGAGGCTGTCCCATTGGAGACGGAGACAGCAGCAGGGCCAGATTTCACCACTGAATCAGAAAAACAGACTGAATGGGAACCAGCCTACACCCCAGTGGGTACATCCCCACTGCCAGGTGGGTAGCTGGGCTCTGGAGCGTGCCCTGAAGCCATGCACACTAAACCCACACACCTGCCTGATATGGAATGCCCAGATGAAGGTGGAAGTCTGGTGAGCGGCCTTGAATTCACTAGAGAGCCCAGGCAGGTCTTGAACTTGGAATTCTCCTGACTCATCATCCTAAATAGCCTGGATTACAGGTCTGCACTACCAAGCCCAGATATAAGCTGTTTTGAAAATACCAACAAAAACAAGGCAGGGTTGGGGGTAATGTAACCATATTTTAAATGGTGAGGGTGTTTTGTTTTTCTTCTTTACTTTTCAGATCCATTTTAATAAAAGGCACCTCAGCTTGAGAATTAAGGCATGTTTATAAACAGCACCCCCTGGCCCTCCTAACCTGGAGATGGGTTCTCTCCCTCCAACAGCACCAGCGTCGTTGGGAGGGCTTAGGAAAACAGTCCCTAATCTTAGACACCCTGCTTCTCTATCAGCAGAGAGCTGGGGTGGGGGCCCAGAATTTGCTTGTTGACCAAGACCCCAGGAGACACTGAGGATGAAAACTATGAGTTAGATATAAGAGATAATATGGAAACACTTGAAGGGGGAACTTGGTTCTCTCCCGTGGTGGCCCCCACGTCCAGTGGGTAGTAGAGAAGGTGGCCCTTTGAGTCCCCAAAAAGTAGAGTCCATATAGCCTGTGGCCCTGAGGTGTAGCAGGAGCTTCCCAGTCCGCTCTCCTCCTTATATCCACCCATCTGCCCTTCCTTTTCTCTTCCCTTCCTTCCTCCATCTTTCTCTGTCTCTTTTTCCTTCCTTCCTCTCTCCCCTTCCTGCCTCCTTTACCAGAGTACTTCAATAAACCCCTTAGCAGTCATCTGGCATGTGTGCTCCTGAAAGACATTTTCTGTGGGCGGGAGGGAGTTCAGATCACGTATGACTTTGACACGGAGCAGAGTTCGCCATTCCACGATTCACCTTGGCTGCCTTCTTTCCTCCAGGGATCCCTCCCACGTGGCTTCCCACCATCTCAGCAGCAGAGGATCACACTGAAATCCCCTCTGCCTCAGAAGTGCCTTCCACCTCAGAGGAGCCACATACAACATCACTTACGCCGCCAAGTGGGACGGAGCTGCCCGGCTCTGGGGAGGCATCAGGGCCACATGGCATCAGTGGTGACTTCACAGGCAGTGGAGAAGCTTCAGGACACCTTGACTCCAGTGGGCAGCCATCACGGGGCGGTGAAAGTGGACTTCCCTCTGGTGACCTCGACTCCAGTGGCCTCAGCCCCACAGTGAGCTCAGGCCTGCCTGTAGAAAGTGGACTGGCCTCAGGGGATGGAGAAGGAGTGGCATGGTCCCACACTCCCACAGTTGGCAAGCTGCCCTCTGGAGGTGAGGACCTAGAAGGCTCTGCCTCTGGAGACCTTAGCGGGTTGCCTTCTGGAAGGGAAACAATAGAAACTTCTGCTTCTGGAGCAGAAGATATCAGTGGGCTTCCTTCTGGAGGAGATGGTCCAGAAACTTCTACCTCTAGAGTAGAGGATGTCGGCAGGATTCCTTCTGGAGAAGGTCTAGAAACTTCTACCTCTAGAGTAGAGGATGTCAGCAGGCTTCCTTCTGGAGAAGGTCTAGAAACTTCTACCTCTGGAGTAGAGGATGTCAGTGGGCTTCCTTCTGGAGGAGATGGTCTAGAAACTTCTACCTCTGGAGTAGAGGATGTCAGTGGGATTCCTATTGGAAGAGAAGGTCTAGAAACTTCTACCTCTGGAATTGAGGATGTCAGTGGAATTCCTACTGAAAGAGAAGGTCTAGAGACATCTGCCTCTGGAGTAGAGGACCTCAGTGGACTTCCTTCTGGAGAAGAAGGTCCAGAAACATCTACCTCTGGAATAGAGGACATCAGTGTACTTCCTACTGGAGGAGAAAATCTAGAAACTTCTGCTTCTGGAGTGGGAGATCTGAGTGGACTTTCCTCAGGAGGAGAAAGTCTAGAAACATCTGCTTCAGGTACAGAGGACGTCACCCAGCTTCCTACTGAAAGAGAAGGTCTAGAGACCTCTGCTTCTGGAGTAGAGGACATCAATGTGCTTCCTACTGGAAGAGAAAGTCTAGAAACTTCTGCCTCTGGCGTAGAGGATGTTAGTGGACTTCCTTCTGGAACAGGAGGTCTAGAAACTTCTGCCTCTGGCATAGAGGACTTTACTGTGCTCCCTACTGAAGCAGAAGTTCTAGAAACTTCTGCCTCTGGAGTAGAGGATGTTAGTGGACTTCCTTCCGGAACAGGAGGTCTAGAGCCTTCTGCCTCTGGCATAGAGGACATTAGTCTGCTCCCTACTGAAGCAGAAGGTCTAGAAACTTCCACCTCTGGAGGCTATGTCAGTGGGATTCCTTCTGGTGGAGATGCTATAGAAACCTCTGCTTCTGGAGTAGAGGGTGTGAGTGGACTTCCTTCTGGAGGTGATGGTTTAGAAACTTCTGCCTCTGGAGTGGAGGATCTTGGTCTTTCTACCAGGGAAGGTCTGGAGATTTCTGCTTCCGGAGAAGGTGTTACTGATTCTCCTTCTGGAAGAGAGGATCTAGAGCCCTCTGTTTCTGGGGTGGGTGATGACCTCAGTGGACTTCCTTCTGGAAAAGAAGGCCTAGAAACCTCGGCTTCTGGAGCTGAGGACCTTGGTGGGTTGCCTTCTGGAAAAGAAGATTTGGTAGGTTCTGCTTCTGGAGCCCTGGACTTTGATAAGGTTCCTTCCGGAACTCTAGGAAGTGGCCAAACTCCAGAAACAAGTGGCCTTCCCTCTGGATTTAGTGGTGAGTATTCTGGAGTGGACGTTGGAAGTGGCCCATCCTCTGGCCTGCCTGACTTCAGTGGACTTCCGTCTGGGTTCCCAACTGTCTCCCTAGTGGACAGTACCTTAGTGGAAGTGGTCACAGCCACCACTGCCGGTGAACTGGAAGGAAGGGGAACCATTGGCATCAGTGGTTCAGGAGAAGTATCAGGGCTGCCCCTCAGTGGGTTGGACAGTAGTGGGGACATTAGTGGTCTCCCTTCAGGAACTGAACTCAGTGGCCAAGCATCTGGGGCTCCTGGAGTTAGTGGAGAAACATCTGGATTTTTTGATGCTAGTGGACAGCCATTTGGGTCTCCTGACATCAGTGGGGGAACATCTGGGATTACTGAAGTCAGTGGGCAGCCATCAGGGATTCCTGACACCAGTGGGACCTCTGAAGTGACTGAGCTTAGCGGACTGTCCTCTGGACAACCAGATGTCAGTGAAGAAGGCTCTGGAGCTCTCTTTGGCAGTGGCCAGACCTCTGGTATAACTTCCGTGAGTGGAGAAACTTCTGGGCTTCCAGATCTCAGTGGGCAGCCCTCAGGGTTGCCGGTGTTCAGCGGAACAACACCCAGAACCCCAGACCTAGCTTCTGGCACCATGAGTGGTAGTGGGGACTCTTCTGGCATCACATTCGTGGACACTAGCCTTGTCGAAGTGACCCCTACCACATTTAAAGAAGAAGAAGGCTTAGGATCTGTGGAACTCAGCGGCCTCCCTTCAGGGGAGATGGATCTGTCCGGCACATCTGCGACGGTGGATATCAGTGGACAATCATCTGGAACAATTGATTCCAGTGGATTCACATCCCCAGCTCCAGAATTCAGTGGCCTCCCAAGCGGAGTAGCTGAGGTCAGTGGAGAATTCTCTGGAGCTGAGGCTGGCAGCAGCTTGCCCTCCGGAGCATATGCTGGCCATGACCTTGCCTCGGCTTTCCCTACTGTGTCTCTTGTAGACAGAACTTTGGTGGAATCTATAACCCAGGCTCCCACGGCTCAAGAAGCTGGAGAAGGGCCTTCGGGCATTTTGGAACTCAGTGGTACCCATTCTGGAACACCAGACATGTCTGGGGACCTTTCTGGGTCTTCGGACCTAAGCACACTGCAGTCTGGGCTGGTGGAACCCAGCACAGAGCCTCCGAGCTCTCCGTATGTCAGTGGGGACTTTTCTAGCAGCACTGATGTAAGTGGAGAATCCGTGGTTGCCACAGCTGGCAGTGGGGAAGCCTCGGGGCTTCCGGAAGTCACTTTAATCACTTCAGAGTTAGTGGAGGGTGTGACTGAACCAACCGTTTCCCAGGAACTTGGCCAAGGCCCTTCTGTGACATATACTCCCGGGCTCTTTGATGCCAGTGGGGAAGCCTCAGCGTCTGAGGACCTTGGCGGAGCTGTGACAAACTTCCCTGGGTCTGGGGTAGAAGCATCAGTCCCAGAAGCCAGCAGTGAGTCCTCCTTGGCTTACCCTGAGGCTGGAGTGGGAGCCTCTGTTGCCCCCGAGGCCAGCAGTAAACTGTCTGGGTTCCCAGATCTGCTTGAAATCACCTCTGCTTCTTCCCACGAAGCAGATCTGGAGGTGACAACCTCAGGCACGGAAGTGAGCAGCACCTCATGGACCTTTCAGGAAGGCACCGGGGAGGGGTCTGCTGCTCTGGAAGTGAGTGGAAAATCTACCACTACCTCCAGTGTGGACACAGACACTTCGGGCATACCTTCTGCCATTCCCGTGGCTTCCGGAGACAGGACCGAAGTCAGTGGAGAATGGTCTGATCACACCTCAGAGCAGAATGCTGCCATCAGCACCACTCTCCCAGAGTACGAGCAGGCCCAGCCTACCCAGAGCCCTGCAGAGACACATCAAGAGATCGAATCCCCGATCCCCTCATACTCAGGAGAGGAGACCCAAACAGCAGAAACAACCATATCCCTGACAGACGGCCCCAGCCCCTCCTCTCCAGAAGGGTCAGGGGAAGCAGAGTCAACAGCGGCAGGTATGTTTGGGGTTGTTTTCCCTTTCACTGTGTGGGGTGCGAGCAAGTGTGATCCAGAAGGAGGTGTGATATGGTAGCTTTAAAGTTCAAAGGTCAGCTGGGCTGTGTCAGAGAATACTCTAAACCTCTCTGAGCCTTATCCATGAAGCCAGAATGGTACCAGAGAATACTAAACAGCATAGAGCTGTGAACAAAGCAAGCCCTGAGCTTTGTGCTGTACTCACAGCGTGAACTTGGGGAGATGAGAGGCTTACTTCCGTTGGGGTTAGCTCACGTGAGCATTCATGTGTGGGCTCCCCCGTCCGTGCTTGGCACAGGGAGACAGTACCTATTTAGGTAGTGATAGAAAGTATGTTCCCATAGCTGTCCCCAAGTGAGTGTGACATGACGGACTACGTCTGCTAGTGGCGTTTATGTCCAAATATGTATTTTGTGTGGGGCTAAAGCCTGCCCTATCTCAGGGCTCTGTCCTGACTTTAAACTCTATGTCCCCACCCCACCCCAGTCCACTAGGACCGCCCTGTGCTGTTCCTACGCGTCCCCTCACCCTCTCCCAGGCACCAAGCTCCAGAAGCTCTAGACTGGGGGACACCTTGACCCTCCCACCGTGTTGGGACAGTTTTTACAGTCAGAGAAAAAGCACCCCACGTGTTGGGGGCTGGATGAACAGGAAAGCAGAGTGAGCTGACTCAAAGCCATCCTCATCTCCGAGCCATGGGGGCTCAGAGGCTGTTCTGGTCTCCAGGCAGCTGGGTTCTTGACACTCACCTCTAGGTTCTGAATAGAGGAGCCCTGTGGCCCAGGGACCTACCTGGAAACATGCTTGTGGCCCATGGCAAACACGGTGACATAGGGAAGCCCTCCTTAGCTGTGAGGGTACAGGCAGGGACTAGACTGACTCCTGCAGTCTCCAGAGCGGGACTCATGCCGACACTGACCAAGGTCAGCTGGGAAGGAGAGGTAGACAGTGACAGGGACAGAAGGCATAAGTTAAACACGACTCATCTTTCCAGAGCATCGAATTGAAGCGAAGATTAGGAGAAAAAGAGTCAAGTTCAGCCATGCACTTCGTTAGTAGTCTTCTGTTAAGCCATTGGTTGTCTCATTGAGTAGAATTCAAAATGCTTTTGGATTCTAAAGGTAAGGTGAGACTTGGAGGGCTGAGGAGATGGCTGAGTCAGTAAAGAACTTGCCATACAATCATGAGGACTTGAGTTCAGATCCCCAGCACCCCTGAAAAAACCTGGGTATGTGGTGCCCATCTAACCCCAGCCCTGGTCAAGGGGGATATCACAAGAGGAGCCCTAGATCACTCTGGCCAGCTAGTCAGCTAGTCTAACCAAACTGGTAAGTTCCAGGGTCAATGAGAGACCCTGTCTTAAAACGTAACATGGAGAGCAAGAAAGGAATACATGAATTGTCAGCCTCTGGCTTCCACCACTCACACTTACACATGCAAGAGCACTTGCATGCACACATATGCACATACCCACATGAACACACACACACACACACACACACACACACACACACACACACACACACACACATCAAACAAGCAAACCTTGAGACTTCAAAGAAATGTTGAATTTGGAGTGAATATCAGTAGAACAGACACTCCTCTCCCTTGGTGTAATTTCTGATGAGAGTTGTCTCTCGTCATAAAAGAAAACCCCATCAGAAGAGCCCCTATAGCCCTCCAGGTTTGGGCTGGATCTAGGTCCTCTTCTTGCCTCTAAAAACTTAGAAATTTGCAGCTGTGACCAGTGGCATATTTCCCATGGACTCCCTCAACCTTCCTAGTGCTGTGACCCTTTAATACTATTCCTCATATTGTGGTGATTCCCCCCAACCATGAAATTATTTTCGTTGCTACTTCATAACCGTAATTTTGCTACTGTTATGACTCGTAATGTAAATATCTGGGTTTTCCAATGGACTTAGGAGACCTCTGTGAAAGGGTTGTTCAATCCCCCCTCCCCCAAGGAGTCGTGACCCATAGGTTGAGAACCACTGCCCTAGAGGTTCTGCCTGTCTTTTGCCATGGGCCAGGAGCTGGTGAGTGGGTGAGGAATGTGATGATCCTCTGATTGGAGGTAGCTCCCCAAAATGAGATGCTCAGACTCCACATGCCACTGTATGGACACTTCTCATTTATCTCTTCAGCATCCAATGCCTTCAAGTGCCAGTGCCTTCAAGCCCATGCTCTTGAGTTAAGTCTCTCTACTTCCCTGACGTCCTTGTCCCCAGTCTCTCCCTACTAAGGCAGGGGCTCTCATAAAGAGTCTTCATTCCTGAGACACACTCAAAAATGAAGAAATGAATCCTAGGGGAAACCCAACTAACTAGGTTTACCTGATGGCCAGGACCCAAGCCTCAGCAGCCTTTACATCCAACACAAAAGATTCTGCATTCTTAGATATTAATACACATGCATATTAACGCCTCACTGTATAGTACACCCTCATATATAGTGAACATGCTTCATACTTGGCACATACATGCTAAATAAAACAGTAGGCAGCTATCTACCCACTCTTCCCTTCATTGGGGTCACTCTCTACAAGCCAGAACCAGAGGGCGTGGTGGGCCCCCAAGGACAGAGAATGTGGACTTTTCTTACTGCCCAAGGGACAATATTTCCTTAAGGCCCTAATGACTATGCGGCCAAACCCCTCTGTTCCTGGTCACTCCATTCTCAGTAACTCCTTCCAACCTACGAAAGTCACAAGCAAGACTTGTGACCTTAGTTGGGCATAGTGCACACCTGTAATCTTAACTCTTGGGAGGTTGGAGCAAGAGGAGGCCAGCCTGAGCTACATAGTGAGATTCTTGGGTAGGGGACCTCATGTCCTCAGCAGCCCTAAAGTTAGCAAAAAAAGTAAATAGCAATAGAATTTATTCTTCTTCTCAGTATAGTGGCTCTTACCTATAATCCAAGACCCAGCACTCAGGAGGCTGAGACAGGAGGATTGCCAAGAGTTCCAGGCCAGCCTGGGCTACAGAGTGAAACACTGTCCAAAAATAATGGAAAAGAAGGAAGGGAGGAAAGAGGAGACATTAATGATCCACTGTAAGAACAGCCTTTCCGATTCCCTGTATCTCCCTCATTCTCTGTCCTCACTGCAGAGGAGACATTAACGATCCGCTATAAGGACAGCTTTTCCGATTCCCTGTATCTCCCTCACTCTCTGACCTCACTGCTCGCACCTCAGATCCTTCCAAGGGCCACAGGTACCAAGATGCAACATTATCCCTCTGATATTTGAATATCCAGGGGTTCCTCTCCCAAAGGGAGGAACTGGATTTGGTCCTAAAAGAAAACATTTTGTATTGACTGTCACCTGGCTTAGTCAGTGTTCTGTCCATAAACAAGTTCTTTTTCAATCTATAATTTATTTATTTTTATTTTATGTGCATGCAGGTGTTTTGCCTGCATGTATGTCTGTGTAAAGATGCCGGATCCCCTGGAATTGGAGTTATAGACAGGTGTGAACTGCCATGTGGGTGCTGGGAATTGAACCTGGGTCCTCTGGAAGAGCAGTGCTCTTAACTGCTGAGCCATCTCTCCAGCCCCCTCATAAACAAGTTCTTGATAAATTAGTAATTAGTACTTTTGACTTCATAATAAATATCTAAAACTGTGTGTGGTGATGCACACCTATAATCTCAGTACTTAGGAGACTGGGGCAGGAGGATCAGAAGTTCAAGGTCATCCTGGGCTCCACAGTGATTTGAAGCCAGCCTAGGGTAAATTAAACCCAATCTCAAAATAGATACAATAATAATAACAACAACAATATAACAATAATGAAACATCGGTTTCATAAGTGCTCAGATTCTCAACCTGGTCCAGTTAAAAATTAGCAGCCTCAGGGCTGGCGAGATGGCTCAGCAGGTAAAGGCGCTAGCTGCCAAACCTGATCGCTTGAGTTCAATCCCCAGGACCCACGAGGGTGGAAGGAAGTAACACAACTCCCGCAAGTTGGCCTCTGACCTCCACACTCATGCCATAGCAAGCACCTCCCCTCCACACGCACGTTAATTAATTAAATGTAATAAGAACGAGCAACCTCTTCCCGCCTTGTTACTGACACACAAAATAGGCTTCTGACTGGAGCCTCCATCTCCATGCTGCTTGGAATTGCTTGGGGAGCTCCTGAGAGGATCCTGCCTGGGCTCCACCCTGAGCTGTTCTGAGGCTGTTGGTTGCTCTGGAGAGGAACTCGACCACCAGCATCTTTTTAAAAGTCTTTTGAAAAAGAATTAATATTCCAATGGCTATGAAGTGTAGCCACGGTTGAAAAATACTGCTCTAACCGGATTTCTCATCTGGCCTCAAACTCATGGCCATCCTCCTGACCTCAGCCTCTTCAGTGTTGAAATCCCAGGTGTGAACCATCACACCCAACAGATAGATATAATAATAGATAATATAATAACAGATAATAGATAATATAATATAATAACAGATATAATACTATATACTTCATTTTACCAAAGAGTCCATAAGCAGCAACTGACTTGAAAAGGCAGCATAGTGAAGATACATTTAAGATCAACTTTTAAAATAGAGAAGACTTGAAATGTACCAATAATAATAGCCTACTTTTAAATGTAAAGACCATTCTTTTAAAATGCAAATTGAGATTGATAAATACACTTTGATAATCCTTCTCTCTTCTGAGTGAGATGCCCAACCAGAGAGTCAGAGTCTAAAAGTATTTATTAGGGTCAGGATTTTTTTTTTTCTGTGCTTGAGAAATCTCCCATCCTCATTTCTGGAAAGCTGTGTCCAGGGTCATCCACTACAACCTGCACAAGCTATGCACTGAGTAGCTTAAAGAGTGCCGTGGATGCTGTGGGGTTTCGTTTGTTTGTTTTTGTTTGTTGAGTGATGAACCATTTAGCTGAGCTATCATTTGAGGAGAATCACCTGTGACCACTCTCCATTTAGCATTTTCCATGAGTCATCAAAACTCTTGTTCACTTGGAGGCCATGAACTCTGATTTAGGCCAAACCTGGATTAAGACCTACTCAAAGTGGAGACCTGGCGTGTCTGAGTTAGATGCCAAAGCACTGGCAGGTCTGTCTCCTTCAGACTTTCCTGGGAGGCCCACAGTTGTTGTCTTTAGTTAGAGACATTGCTTGTGGGCCTTGCTCAAGACGCACACAGTGCCCTGTCCCGTTCAGTGACCACACCTAAGTTCTTGGGGAAGAAAATATACATGGTAACAAGATGCTGACAGTCCAGAGCCAGGTCTCCCTTCACCCGGGCAGAGACACAGCTTCCTGTCTCATTTCCTGCCTCTCCTCTGTCCCTCTCAATCTGTGTCCTAGACTTGCCAATGTGGGCAAGCCATTTCACTTGTCTCCCTGCCACCAGAGGCGTAAGAGTGTCCATACACGCCACTGCACCATGAGAACCATAACAGGAAAAGGGGGTCCACAGCATCCAATCTTAGATGACACTGGTCCCCTCACTTCCTCTCTTCTTCCATTAAGGCTGCCATTACCCAGAGCCATCCCTCTCCACACCTGCTGCCACCTTGTCCAGAACCCCCGAGAAGGTCCCCACTACCGCTTCTCTTAGTCCCAGTAACCAGTAGATGTCCCAAATACCTGACACAGAAAGAGCTGTGCTATCAGGTCCAGAATGGCTTGTGCAAGAAGAGGAAGTGAGGTGCTCAAGCACTTCTGAGCAAGCCCTTACAGGACAGTAGCGCTCTTCCATTGTGCAGAGGCTCACTTGGCCTCTCTAAGTACCTGGTGCTATACAGTGCTTAGGACTGTGTGTGTCTCTTCCTCATCTTGGTATTCAGGTCCCTGAAACAATGATCAAACTTTGTACCCTGGCTAAACACAGAAGGAAAACAACACAACTTCTCATATCCCAGGCCAGATGAGAGCCCTCTCTAAGCTTTTGTGACATTTGGAAGCCACCCGGCCTGGCCTCCACCAGGCCTCTGCCTTTCCTGCCCTTTGTCTCATGGTTTGGCCAAGGACCCCAGAGTTGATGTCTGGCTCTTTTACCCGGAGGCCACCCCATCCCTGCTCTGTACAACTGCTTTAGCGTCTCCATTTGCTTAACCCTCTTGCCCTGGTGCTTCCCATCTCCCATAATGAAGTTAATGAACAAGAGAGAACACAACCAGCTTTCCTGAAAGCAAGAGAGCTGCCCCCAGCTTCCACTCTGCCAACTGACCTGACCTATTGCTGCTACTGCTGCTGCTGGGAATCCTGGTGCATGCTGGGAAACCAAGTGCATGCCAGGATTTCAGTCAGTTCCTCCATGCATTTTGGGGTTGCTTGGAACTGTGAGTTTCTAATCCATGGCGTGTGCTTCTTGAAATGAAGCTAAGAACTTCACAGGAAGAGAAGAGATGCCAGCGATATGGAGAAGAGGAGCGGCATAGGTAGAGCAAGGTACCTGAGAACCACGGATTCTCATGCCACTAATTGCATAGACTTGGCCAAGATGACCCAGAGCTTGAAGATCCAGAGGCAAGTGCATTGGCCATCCTAGCATAGGACTGACGTAAAGGTCTAGATTGCTGTTATAGGTGGCAAGATCTAAGTTCTAGGATGGGTTAAAGTCCTGCTCTGAAGTCAAGGCTCTGCTGATCCCAAGGAGACCATCCATCAGCATACCATTGAATTGAGGATCTCAAGGAAACATAATTGCATGTACCAAGAATTAGCTTCTTCTGGGTTGGAGATGTACCTCAGTTGACTTGCCTGGAATGTTCAAGGCCCTGGGTTGAATCGCCAGCATCACGTACACCTGACATGATAATGCACACCTACAATTTCAGAACTCAGTAAATAGAGGCTGAAGAATCAGAAGTTCAAGATCACCCTCAAGTACACAAGTTCAAGGCCAGCTCTGGAGTTATAAATATGAAGACAACAGAAGTCTTCTCCCGCCCCCAGGCCTCCTGGCTTCCCAGAAAGGTGTAGAAAGACAAGTCTAAGAGGTTCAGTTCTCACTTTGGCTAACTGTTGATAAGTTGAGGCAAAGGTCAATGATTTACAAATTCAAGTCTTGCAAAGAAGTTCAGCTAGAAAGAGTGCCTTGGAACTAAAAGAGCAGAAAGGAAGAAGAATCTGCCTGAGACAGAGAGGACAGGGCACCTGACTGAACCCCAGGCTGGTGATGGGTTTGTACCTACTAACTGAGCATCTAGCCAGCCACTAACTGAGCCAGCTTCCCATGTTTGCCGGCCCCTGGCCAGGATGGGTGCCCATCTACAAATTACGACTCACTAAAGATGCCTACCTTTTGAGACTTTAAGCTGGAAGGAAGTCCCAAGGGGAAATGTTGGGCAAGGTTTTGTTCCCTATCCCAAAAGAAAGACTTGGGTTTCATTTTTTAAAAACCTTTAAATCTTATTTACTAAAGACAAAGACACTATCTACAACCCAGGAAATCTAATGAGTTTCCTGCAAAAATCCCATATGACCATTTCTCACAGCTCTATACCCTTCAGACCACTTTTAGATGGTTCATTCTAGAACATGGGTTTGCGCTCATTTCCTCATCTCACAACTATAGAGGAAGCCAGGAGAAGCAAAACTCCTAACCAAGCTTTAAGAAGGTCACTTCCAATTTCCTTGCCTATCGCCGTCTCCATGGCCAGTTCAGACCTCTAGCTTCTTGAACTATTCATGAGAGAAGGTATCTTGAAGGAATTCCATTCTCAGGCTCATAAAAGGCATTTGGCTACGGAAGTACCGGATCTCTCCAACCTGGAAAACTAGTTCCAAGGTTCCAAGCTTGCCTATCAAGAATCACAGACATCCAAAGAAAACCGTCAGGACCTTTGGTTCAGCAGTCCAAGACGGCGGCGGTGGCAGCAGCAGCAGCAGCAGCAGCAGCAGCAGCAACAGCAACAGCTCTCAGAAAATCTAGCCAGGCCCCTTCCAGCCTCTGGACAGCAGCAGAGCTGGCCACCACCCATAATGAAGCCATGGTGCTTGTGAATTGCCGGCAGAGGTCCTAATGGTGGCCCTTGGTTTCTTGCAGACATTGATGAGTGCCTCTCAAGCCCTTGTCTGAATGGAGCCACCTGCGTGGATGCCATCGACACTTTCACATGCTTATGCCTTCCCAGCTACGGAGGGGACCTGTGTGAGATCGGTACGGCCGTCTCGGCTTCAGCTAATGTTACTAACTGCTGCACTCTTCCTTCCTCACCCTACCCTTCTAACCACAGGTTCCAGGCCTGGACTGGAGCCCACAAGTCTACCTGGAGAGCCATTCTGGGAAACACAGCTGAGAAGCCTGCCCACCCCCCCACACACACACCCCGATCTCAACACTTATTCTTGCTCTTTCCCTTTGGGAACCCGCCTCTGAAATATTGGCTGATCTGACCGCAGGAGAGATGCATACTTTGGAAAGTGGGGCTCAGGAAGCCTTGCACACACTAACCTTTTCCAGGGCTTGGCAGACTTGCTGGTGTGACCACAGAGCTCAGTGCATGGGTCCCGCTAGGAAGACACAGCTGATTCTGTGCATCGGTCTTGGAGAAAATTATGGGTAGGAGCAATGGGTCCTCACTCTACTGGTGGCCACCGATCTTCTCAGCATGATCGTGGGCACTGTCTACCTTGCTGTGTTCTCTGTGGGACTCCCATGTCCTTTCATGTCCCTGGGGAGCAACGATGCCACGCTGAGCTGCCTTCCTCCTCTTCTCCTGGCATGAGGGCTGTGGGTGATCTACCTGAGAGGACTTGTGTCACCAGTGTGCTCCAATCATGCATGAACAGGGACCGTGCATGCCATCCTCTCCGTCACACCATGGCGGCTGCCCTCTGAATGCTGCCTTGGCCCATGCTCCCTTTCTTGCTCCCTTGTACAAAGCAAACTGTTAGTCTGTCGGAGCAGTCTCGTTGCGAGGCACAGGAGCTAAGTTTCCTCTGGTGGGCCTTGCTAACACCTCTGCTCTGCACCTGTGGGCCAGAGGCCCGAGGCAGGACCAGGCTGACCCCCAGTGTTCTCACGGACAGTGCTCTCTAGGCTCCTGCCGGCCCCTCAGGTCTCAAGCCTTCCTAACTCAGAAAAGGAGGCTTGAGGCTTTAGGATGCTGGTAGCAATGGTTCATACAGAACTGGAAGTGTACACGGGCTTAAAACCCTTTTCAATGAACTCTTGTTAGAGAAACTTCCAGAAAGTACCTGAAACTCCTGGGAAATCTTCCTTTGTGAGGAAGTAACAAGAGTGATCTACACATTCCTTGGAGACATTGTCAAGGGTACAGGCTGATGGTGGAATTTAAGGTTTCTATAGTAACAGGCTGGGACATTCATGTTCCCTGTGGCCTCTCGCCTTCTACACCCCCAGGAAGTCAGGTGCATGGGGTCTCAGCTGGGTGGAAATAGAGAGTACAAGGATTTTCCCTGCAGGATGCCACAGGGGAGAAATGTCTGGAACATGAACATAGACAACAGCTTGGGAACCAGTCCGGGAAAGGGAGACTCTGCTGGAACAGAGGAAGGGTTCTGCATCCTGATAGACCGGGAAAGTGATTCCAGAGCCACCCAACTGGGCCCTGGCCCTGAGTGCCCAGCTCTGATGCAACCTGGAATGCAATACCCCATAGGACTTTGTGCCTTGTCCCCTGGTGTCACTGCTCTGTCCAGCCTCTTTGGAGGTCTGTCTTGTCCTCCTCACAGCCTCTACTGGCATGGTTCTCTCCGGCCACACCCAGCTCCCGCCCTCTCTGACCCTACCTGCCCAGCTTAGCCCTCAGGTTCTGAGGTGGACCAAGCCTTGGCCCACAGACCCACAGATGGTGCCTCTGTCTCAGTGCTGGGCATCCTCCAAGGCCTCCTTGGCCTCTTCCTGGACCTTTATCTAGGTAGCAGGAGGACTGCTGCTTTTTTCTCTAGATCCTGGCCTTCCATTCCCCTTCTCTCCACTTCACAGCCTTGCCAAGCACCCCTTAGCCCAAGGAAGACTCCTTCCCCTCAGGGAAATTCCCCTGTCCTTCCTACAACAGCCAAACTATTGAAGCCGTCTCTTGGGAAGCAGCCACACATCCTGAACCCCAGGGTCCTCCCCTCCACAGGGCGGCTCCAGGCAGAGGAATGAAAAAGGGGTAATCTAGGCCTCCCTCTTCCCAGTGCTCTGCAGACAGTTGTTTAGCTATTGGCTATCACAGAGGAGAGGGAGTCTTCTCTTGGGAGGCTTCTTTCCAGTCCTGAGGTAAAAAACGCTTCCAGCAGGGCCAAGCTACAATCATCCACATGCTGTCACCGCAGGCAGTTAGCTCCCAACCCCCTCTTCCAGTCCTGAGGAGCTGGCTCGAACATGCCCCCACCTCTGTCCCTGAAGACCACACCAAGACTCCACATCTGGCCCTCCTCCAGCGCACAGCACTGCTGCCGATGAAGCTGCTTCTCCCCTCTCAGCCGCCACCAAAATGTGAGACAAAAGACAGGGCTCCTGAGTCCCAGACCAACCTCTAGTTGGCATGTAGCTCTTTAAGATGAAGATATGGTGGGCTCTGCTACAGCCAGCTCAGGGACCGGGCAGAAACACTCGTCTAACATGCAGAAGGCCCCGGGCTTCATCCCAGCAACGCACAAGATAATTAAATTAAACTAATAGTATTAACAAGGGCAGCCAGCTCAGATCCATGGTCCAAAGCTCACTCTTCTTTGGACCCCCAAGAAACTTATTCCTGGAGGGTCTCTGACCTCACTCAAGGCTACCAGCTCTACCATACCCAGCCTCTTCTGCTACCTCCACCTGCTGCCCACAGCTCCTTTTCCCAGAATCCCTCAGAGACTCTGAACTATGTTCTGCCTTAAATTTAAAAACTTCCCACCTGACTGTCCCTTTGTCCCCCAGCCTGCGGGACCCTGCCGGCTCTCCTCCCACCCACTCGGGGCAGGAATACCACAGGAGGAGATCCTGGAGGCCAGGGTGCTGAATCAGGGAAAGAACAGATCTTTATTTAGGTGGCATGCACATGGGCACACGGAGGCTCCCAAGAGTCAGATGTCACTGGCTTCCTGCTCGAGCCTCTGTCTAGCCGAGCCCGTTGCCTCCCTCCTGGGCACAGCCTTTCAGGTGGACTGAACATAGAAGTCCCTGCCACAAGGCTGGCAGGGAGCACACGCTCAGCTGGCCGTGCCCCCTCTTCATGTCCCTGACCTGTGTTACAGACCAGGAACAATGCGAGGAGGGCTGGACCAAATTCCAGGGCCACTGTTACCGCCACTTCCCGGACCGCGAGACCTGGGTGGACGCTGAGAGAAGGTGTCGAGAGCAGCAGTCACATCTGAGCAGTATTGTCACCCCCGAGGAACAGGAGTTTGTCAACAGTGAGTGCGGCAGGGGCTACAGAAGCAGCAGTGAGAGCGAAGGGCCTTACGGGTCAGAAATGAGCAGACTGGGGACTGAGGCTATAGCTCAATGGGCAGCGCTTGCCTTGTGTGCACAAGGTCCAGCACTGCAGGAAGGGAAGGGGAAGAAGGGAGGGAGGGAGGAAAAGAGGGAGGGAAGGGAAAAAGGGAGGAGGGAGGGAGGGAGGGACAAAGACAGCCCAGGCTAAGCCTGTAGCTGTCACGGCCCATGCCAGCCTGAGGAGACATGTGTGTCCTGAGACCCTTGCAAGGTCCTCAGAAGACAGTGGCAGGTGCCTAGGAGTCACTTGCTTCCTCCCACCACACCCTTCTTTCCATAAGTTCCAGTCCCCAGACAGCCCAGGGCATCCAACGTCAGGTGCAAACTTCTCTTCCCTTTCCAGAAAATGCTCAAGACTACCAGTGGATAGGTCTGAATGACAGGACCATCGAAGGGGACTTCCGCTGGTCTGATGGACACTCCCTGGTGAGTTGCCAGAGCTAAGAAGTGGGATAAAGACCCCTCCAAACAGCATGCATTCAAGTCACATGCAAACTCACTGAGCAGATGCCCGGCAGGCAGGAACTCTGTAGGAAGGGATTGTGTCTCTTTCCCCTCGGCCTCTGGAGACCAGTCTGGGGCTGGATGGACTTCATGAGGGAAGGCATAAGATGGGATAAGGAGCCAGCAGAAAATGGAAAAAAAAGTGACAGCAAGCTACCATAAAGGGTCTATGACATTTGAGAGAGTTTCCTCATGTGCAAAGGACTAGTGTCTACTGAAGATATAAAACACAGAGATCAAATGGACAGGGTGGGCAGTCAGCTACAGGTCAGGGAAAAGGGCCTTATGGGTCAGAAATGAGCAGACTGGTGATTCCCCACCAGGGAATGAATCCTTGGGGATTATGAGCTCCTGAAAAGGACCAGAGTCAGGCTGTGTGTAACCAGTTCCTTAACCTGGGATCCATGGCATCTAGGATGACCCTCATCAGACCAGAGTCCCAGCAGCCTTTGCTGCTGCCTTCCAACCCAGACGCTGGGTGGGAAGGAAGTGGGGGTCAGGCCAAGCCACACTGCTTCAGCCTGCCCCTTACCAATTTGCTTCTCCTGCCCACAGCAATTTGAGAAGTGGCGTCCCAACCAGCCTGACAACTTCTTTGCCACTGGAGAGGATTGCGTGGTAATGATCTGGCATGAGCAGGGTGAATGGAACGATGTACCCTGCAATTACCAGTTGCCCTTCACGTGTAAAAAGGGCACCGGTAAGAAGGGGTTGGGAGGAGGTCCAGGGAGGGGAATAAGCCCTTCAGCTGCAAGGGAGCCACTTGCTGTGTGATCTAGAGGGGAGTTCTCTTGTCTCCTAACTACCGGGGGCTATGGGAGCATCCTCAGGAAGCTCACAGGTGCTGATGGGAAGGCCTCTCCTGGCACCAGCATCACAGAGCCAATAGCAAGAACAAGCTGACTCCTGGGAACCGTTCACAGGAACAAAGGGAGGCTGAAAGTCATGGGCTAGAGGATAGGATCCTCCACTCCATGCATACCATGGTCTCTCAGATGTCAGCAACAGAAAGTCACCCATAATGGCCCTGGGTGGACTTACCCTTTCTTTGGGGCTCCAAAAACTGCTAGCCACAGAATCAGAGCTGCCAGGCCTGGATTCTTCAGCTTTAAGGCCATGGGTATCACAATGCTTAAAGGACCCAGCAGCCTCCTGCTCCTACGCATGGCCTGTGTCCCCAGGCCTCCTTTGGGCAACATTTTCCCTGGCTTTGTACATTTTCATAAAGAAGCCACAGGTGTCTCAGCAGACTGTCCTCTTTCCCCACCTCAATCCCTCCTTTTTATCATCTCACCAATGTTCAAGGCCATCTTTATATACTCTTTCTGCCTCCCAGGGCCACTGAGGAATCCAGATGTTAGAACTGAATGCCTTAGGATTCTTTGCCCGTCATCTTCCTCCCCACCCCCACCCCCATCCCGCAGTCCAGGCTCAGCCCTGGGAAGCACAGCTTGATCCCTTTCTCATCATGCCTTGGGCTGTGGGCTAACCTTGTCTCTGCCTATATGGGCCATCACAGAACACCTCATGAGACCCCTTCCTAAAAGGCATTTGTCTCTCAGTGGCCTGTGGAGACCCCCCAGTGGTGGAGCATGCCAGGACCCTCGGGCAGAAGAAGGACCGATATGAGATCAGCTCCCTGGTACGGTACCAGTGTACTGAGGGCTTTGTCCAGCGCCACGTGCCCACCATCCGGTGCCAGCCCAGTGGGCACTGGGAAGAACCTCGAATCACCTGCACAGACCGTGAGCATTGACCCCCTGGCCCCTCACCTGGCACAGAGTCAGATTCCACCAACAGGGCCTTCTCCTCTTCCCCAGAGCATAGTGGTAGCTGATACTGTCCTGGAGACTCCATGCCAGGCAGGGAAGGTACTGGAGAGCTGCACCATAAAATATATATGGAAGGTCCCTGTTCCCTGAAAGGAGCTAAGAAAGCTGTGACTGTCTCCTGAGCCTAAGGAATTTCAATGAAAAATCCGTCCCAGAGGAATAGGGCAGGAAGAGCTTCAGGCTGCACTGCTAGGCTCACAGTCCACAGGGAGGGCACCCGTGACAGGGGAAGGCTGGGGACAGTCCATGCTTGGACATGCTTCTTTCTCACTCACTGTTTAATCTTCCACCCCACCCCATCCCACCCCCCTTGACTGCAGCCACCACCTACAAGCGCAGGCTACAGAAGCGGAGCTTGAGAGCCACACAGAGGAGCCGTCCCAGCATGGCCCACTGAGAGGAGCTTCCCGACCGACCACAACGTGCCCCCAGGATGCTGAGCCCAGCGGCCAGCCAGGCTGACCGTGCATCCCAGCCAGAAGGTGTCTTCCTGTCGCTTGTTGTCATATAAGGAATCCATTAAAGAAGGAAAAATACCCCACATTCTGTGTGCCCCAACTCCTCACATCACCCAAACTCCATCTAATTTGTCCCCCACCCCACCCCCCCAAAAAAAAAGCCAAAGCGAATTTCCTGTGACCCGTGGACTGAGTTTAGAGACACTTCTTCAATCTCCCACCGTGCCTTTCCAGGGACCAGTGCAGGGACAGGGTGAGAAGGAAGGGGTTAAATTAAATAAAGAAGATTATTTTTTTTGTTTGTTTCCTGACTTTACCTAAGAGCAGTGCAGTGGTCGGTTATTTCAACCCCAGGGAAAGCTAGGGAGGCAGGAGGAGGGGCTGGAAGGAGACAGGACGGGGGAGGGGGGAGGGGGGCCTCAGAGCACGAAGGACTCAGAAGAGATTAACTGCAGCTTCATATGTTGGACAAAAGGAACCGAGGTCTGTGCCATCTATGAGGGAAGGAGCCTGGGGCAGGGGACAGGCTGGCCAAGAGGCAATGAGGTTGCCTTCCCCCTGGGGCCCCTCTTCTAGTGACCTCTCACCGGGGTCAACCACCCTAAGCAGGTGCCATTCCTCGGCTGGACTGGGTAGGGGCACTTCCTCCCCAGGGGTGCTCCGCCGTCCCCTCCCCTCTCCCCATCCCGGGACGGTGCAGGCGCCAGTGTTCCGTGCACCTATTTATATTTTTGAAAACTAAAGATTATGATAATTATAATAATAAAGACATTGGAAGAGATCTATTTCCTTTCCTTTTTTTTTTAAAAAAAAAAGTTTATTTTATTTCTTATTTAAGCAAAAGGTGACCATGATCTGGGACCTCCACAGAGTTGTGCTTCGATCCCAAATGGCCCCAAAATTGTGCAGGTCCTGTGTGTTCATTCACATCTGTTTGTCTCATTCCTGACCGGAGTGACATTATGTTTGATGGACCCTCTGCCCCTGTGTGTGTGGGAATACAGCATGCATGTGTGAACATGTGTGACCTTATTTGTGTTACATTTGCCTGGGTGTGCCTGTCCACCTGCGTCATTCAGTGGTTTGGAGCGCAGGTTTGCAAGTGGGCAAACTGGAAACTTGAGAGAAGGTATGCTGGTGTACTCAGGGAGCTGAGACAGGAGTGCTGAAAATTCAAGGCCAGCCTGGGCCGCATGGTAAGACCCTGTCTCGAAATAACAGCCAAAGAATTATTCAAGAGACACTTGGTGTACCAGGCTTGGGGGCACAGCCTGTGAGCACAGCTACTTGAGTGGCTGAGACAGCCCGAGAAACTTGGTGAGACCTTGTCTCACAATAAAAGGTAACAGAGGGCTGGAGATGTAGCTCAGTGGGAGAGCACTTGACGAGCACACACAAGGCCGTAGGTTCAATCTCCACTGCCAAAATGGGCTGATATATCCCCTGAAGGGCTGTGATAACACACCCCGAGTTTCTGATGTAATAAAACTGGAGTGAGGCTGAGGAACTTGGATTTCTAACAAAAAAAAATTGTGCAGGTCCTGAGTGTTCAGTCACATCTGTTTGCCTCATTCCTGACTGGAGTGACATTATGTTTGATGGACCCTCTGCCCCTGTGTGTGTGTGAATACAGCATGCATGTGTGAACATGTGTGACCTTAGACTGCTAGTCAGGTGCGATGGTGCACATCTGTAGCCCCAGCACTGGGAAGGCAAGAGGACCGGAGTTCAAGGCCATCCTCAACTATATAGAAAGTTCAAGACCAACTTGGGTTATGTGAGACGGTCTCAATCCCTCTCCCTTCACCCCCACAAAAAAACTGAACTGAGGGGCTGGAGAGATGGCTCAGGGGTTAAGACGGCTTGCTGCTCTTGAAGAGCATCCATGTCAGGTGGCTCACCATAACCCACAAGTCTAATCCCAGGGGATCCATTGCCCTTTCTGGCCTCTGCAGGCACCTGCACCACATGCCCATTCTCTCTCTCTCTCTCTCTCTCTCTCTCTCTCTCTCTCTCTCTCTCTCTCTCTCTCCTCTCTCTCCTCTCTCTCGTATGCATGCACATAGAAAAGAAAAGAAAAAGAAAAACTGACTGAACATCTGATTGTCAAGCACTAGGGGACATCTGGGTGAAATACAGGTCTGGTTCCCCAAAGCATTGTTGGGGTGAAGAACAAAGACACTTCATAGATCCTCAGCCTCTGAGACCCATTGGAAGGCACCTTCTACTCTTCTTTCTCCTGAGCCCCTCAAAAATGGGCCATCATGGGGTGCAGATGGGAAGCTGGGCCAGTACCTGAGGCAGGGTATGCTGTAGGATAGACAAGATCAAAACCAAACCAGTACACAGGGGCAGTCTAGAAAGACAGAGGACGGAAGTGACCCCACACATACCCTGGGCTGAGATCTAGTCCCTGAGGCTGAAGGAGACAAAGGGTCAGACACGGAGGCCACCTGGGAGGGAAAGAAGGGAATCAGCACCATTTATTGGCCAAAGAAGGTACACACACCCAGAGGGTCACTCCCAAGCAGGGAACATGGGAAGGATACTCGACTCAGGAACCAGGAGATGATGCGGGAAGGTTCTCCCTTCCTTAAGCCCTCATCCACAAGTCTAAGGACCCTGTGCAGAAATTTAAAAAGAGTCAACACTCATCCTTCTGCCTCCTCTAAGCCAAGGAGAGGGGGCTAGCTGCAGGCACTGCTCATGCTCGGCACCGGATTCCTCAGGTTAGGGATGCCAGCTGTACCAGAACACGGCAGAGCCTTTTAAAATCCAATGGACCTCAAACGCCCCAGAGAGGGATGCCAAGAGAATTGAGAATTGGGTCTGTAAAAAAAAATAATAATAATACCTTTTAAAAATGTTTAAGTTGGGACGTATAAAAACAACACAAGCAACGCCCCAACCCTCAAGGGACAAGGTGAACCCTTGTGTCAGAAAGTTGACCCAGGAAGTCAGAGGGCAGGAGGATGCACAGCCGGCCACCCTGCTAACGCTGGGCGGTAACAGTAGACGCCATAGCGGGTGCGTGGGTCTGGGAAACCGAATGTCCGTACTCCAGGCTCAGGGGGCCCGCAGTTGGGACGGGGGTGAACTACGGGGTAGCGGGCACTTCCGTCTGCCAGCCAGCCAGCATCACAGCGGTCCAGGCCGCGGAACTTCCAAGCAGCAAAGAGCTGGCCCACCGTAGAGATCTGTGCGCCATCTTCCAGGCAGGCCTCCCTGGCCTCCAGCAGCGTCAGCTTCTCCGGGTGCTCCAGGTAGTACACCCGCCCTGTGGGAAAGTGGGGCATTTGAGTGCCGTACAGCTCGGGGGGGGGGGGGGCTGCCACAGGCAGGGAGGAATTGCCCTATGGGAGTCTGTGTTGGACACTTTGAGAGGGGCACCTTTCCACCACACCTGCCCCAAGACTAGGGTTACTCTAGTCATTTCCCCAGCTGCGTTCTGAGTGAGCACCCGCCGAGACTGGACTAATCTCTTCACCCACCGTTTACTGAGCACCTACTATGTGAGGAACTTCTACACGCCAGCAGGCACTTCTTTAGGTAGCTAGCTGAGGATGACCTTAAACTTGAACTTCTGATCCTCCTGCCTCCACCTCCCAAGTGCTGAGAGTACACTACAATGCCCAGTTCAGGAGGTGCTAGGGATGGGACCCATGCCTTGTACACACTAGGCAAGAACTTGACCAACTGAGCTACATCCCGGCCCTGCCTGACACTTACTTCTAAGTATTTTTTGCTACGGTACCGAACAAATTTCTGCTTTCATTTATCTTTCAATGAATAATAAGGCCGGTGTTTGGGGAAAAGACATGGTTTGTTTGCGCTGACTCACAGCCCAATACGTGATAGACACTCAGATGTCTCATGAATGAATAACCAGTGGCAGCCGTGAACATCAAGAGTAAAGTGCTGAGAACTGGACATTGCCTCCAGAACTGCCAGCGCTTCAGACCTTGGGCCCAGAGGCAGGCAGAGAAGAGCAGAGGGTCCTGGAAGCTTCACAGATAAGGAGGCCCTCCCTCAGGTTCCAGATGACCCTCAAACAGGCAGGTCTGTGCCGGGCCATTCCACTCACCCTTGACGGCAGCCGCGAAGCAGAACACGTCATAGCGGTGCAGGCGGTGGTGGCGCTGGCCATAGCTGCGAACACCAGGCGCCAGGCCGAGGCCTCCGCAGGGCTGCCGGGGGCAGCGTTATAGGGTACTGCACAGAGGCGTCCTGCAGCCAGCCTGCATTGCACCAGTCCAGGCCTTCCTCCCAGGCGCGGAAGAGCTGCTCAAAGGAAGCCACCACCGCGCCCTGCTCCCGGCAGGCCTGTTGGGCCTCGTGGAAGTTGAGCTGGTAGCGCCCTTCGCGGGGCTGGTATGGGAAAACCACGCCTAGAAAGGAAGGACCGGCTCAGAGGGGTCAGAAGGGGGAAGCCAGAGCTCCTCACTTCCCCTGGGATGCACGCCGCCTCCAAAACACGGCGCCTTTAATCCCAGCACTCGGGAGGCAGAGGCAGGCGGATCTCTGTGAGTTCGAGGCCAACCTGGTTTACAGAGCGAGATCCAGGACAGGCTCCAAATCTACACAGAGAAACCCTGTCTCTAAAAAACAAAACCAAACCAAACAAACAACAAAAACAAAAAAACCACAGACACCTCTGCACACATCCTCGGGTAGCTCAGCCAAACCTCCTACCTGCTGCCCAAGGTCTAAATCCAAAGGGGAGTGTTCCCCTGCCTCTTGCCTTCCTTCTAGAACTGAGCAGATTTCCCAGAAAATACATATTGGCTTGTGAGATGATTAATCCATCAAGTGATGTCTCAGACTATAGAGTAGGATAGAAGATGAGGCCATGCTGTTATGCTCTAGGCTCCAGGGGTGGGGTTTATACACACACACACACACACACACACACACACACACACACACACACGCACACACGCACACGCGCACACACACACACACGCACGCGCGCGCGCGCACACACACACACACACCGTCCTAGGGGCATCTGTAAAGTATAGAAAAATGGCAGTAGCTGCACATCCTCTAATACATTTTAATTTACCTGCAGACGGCTTAAGATTCCGACACATGCCTACACGTCACTTTATCCTCATGGTTCAGCGTGGTACTTGGCCTACAGTGAGCTCAAGGCTTGAGTTTGGAAACTTTCTGCATTTGGGGCACAGGTGCATGCTTTTAATTTATGAGTTGGTTTATTTCTCTAATTGCATTATTTGTTTGTTTGTTTGTTTGTTTATTAGGGCAGGGCACGTGCATGAAAGTCAAGAGACAGATTATGGCAATCAGTTCTCTCCTTCCACCATGTGGGTCCTGGGAACTGAACTCAAATTGCCAGACTTGGCCACAAGTGCCATTACCCACTGAGCCGTCTCATTAGCCCCTACAAATTGGTTTAATTTGCAGAGGAGGGACCACAGACAGGAAAGGCCAGCTGTGTGTGTGTCTTCAGTGCATTAGCGTGCAAATTCCTTTTGGGGGGAGGGAGTGGAGAACTGTGCTCAGTGGTTTTATGTCAACTTGATACAAGCTAAAGTCTGAGAGGAGCGAACCTCAATTAAGAAAATGCCTCCATAAAATCGGGTCGTATGAAGGCCTGTAAGGTATTTTCTTAATTAGCAACTGATGGGGTAGAGCCCAGCCCATGGTGGATGGTGCCATCCCTGGGCTGGTGGTCCTGGGTTCTATAAGAGAGCAGGCTGAGCAAGCCATGAGGAGCAAGCCAGTAGGCAGCACCCCTCCATGACCTCTGCATCAGCTCCTGCCTCCAGCATCCTGCCCTGTTTAAGTTCCTGTCCTGATTTCCTTCCATGATGAACAGTGATAAGTAAATCAAAGCTGAATAAACCCTTTCCTCCCCAACTTGCTTTTTGTCATGGTGTTTCATCGCAGCAACAGAAACCCTAAGGCAAGGACAGAGTCTTGCTGTGTAACCCAAGCTGGCTACAAACTTCCAGTCCTTCTGCTCCACCCTTCCAAGCACTGGGATGACAGGCATGAGCCACCAAGCCTGGCTTCTAAATGCAGGAATGTCTTGATGAAACAAGGGAAGCTGAATATGACGGCTCACACCTGTAATCCCAGGACTCAAGAGGCTGAGACTGAGAATTACCACGAGTTTAAGGTCATCCTGGGATACAGAGTAAGACACCCCTAAAAACTGCAGAAGAGGGACTGGAGAGATGGCTCAGAGGTTAAGAGCACTGGCTGCTCTTCCAGAGGTCCTGAGTTCAATTCCCAGCAACCACATGGTGGCTCACAACCATCTGAAATGAGATCTGGTGCCCTCTTCTGGCCTGCAGGGATGCAGGCAGAACACTGTATGCATAATAAATAAATAAATATAAATATTTAAAAAAAAACTGCAGAAGGAAGGGTGGTGAAGGGGCCCCTCAGTAAAAGAGTCCTGAGGCTGGGGGCACCCTGGGGCAGGAGGCCTCCTTCCTAGTGGCCGTCCTGACAAGGCCACACATTCCCCTCAAAAGCTACTGTTCTAGCAGGGTGTGGTGGTTCACACCTGCAATCTCAGCACTCAGGAGATTGAGACAGGAGAATTACCATGAGCTCAAAACCAACGTGGCCTACAGAGTGAGATCCTGTCTCGGACAATAGAAGCACAAACAGAATTCCATGTTATTGTGCGTGTTTGAAATTTTACCTTATAAAAAGTTGAGGGTTCATTTTCGTTTGTTGTAAGCTGGATTTGAACCTAGGACTTCATTCACATGAGATACCATTCTATTACTGCCCAATCTAAAAATTGTAAGCATCTTTCAGTCCACAGCAAGTCAGATGAAGCCTTAAGAAACAGGGGTAACTCTAAGTCCGAGGAGGCGGCCCTCCTTGGCTTGTGCTGTTTAGAAGCAGAATCATGAATAAACATCACCCTGTGTCCAGGCTGAGGGAGCAGTGAAGCTCATGGGACCCAACAGGGTGGGGGGTGGAGGGTGATAGTATGCCTGGTCCCACCCTAAGTTCCCATTCCTTGCAACCCCAGGGATGAGGAAAGTGTTGAGGACTCCCTGTCTCTCTAGGCTGACCCTGATAACCTTTCCCTCTGATAACCCAGACTTCAGAATGAGCAGTCTGGCTCCTCTGAGTCACCAGGTAGGCCCTGTAGGCCACAGAGGTGGAGCTGCTACAGACTCCAGGGGATCTTTTTCAGGAGGCAAGTTCACTCTCACTACTAGAGGAAGGTCACAAAGGAACCGCCTTTACCTGTACCATGATTCCCTTGTCTGTTCTTGAGAGAGCCTGGGCTCCAGGGATGAGCCCTGCTCAGGGGCCAAAGTTGGAGTGGAATAAGATGGAGTTAGAGGAGAGAGATGAAGCCATGCTGTCCCCCCCAAGACACAAAGGAGTCAGAACAACAAAGAGATTGCAACCTGGAGCTACCTGAGACCTGGCTCGTAGCATCTGGCTGATCCAGACAGCACTACTTTTTCTAAAAAAAAAAGGATAATTTTACATAAAAATCCAGAGATTCCAATAGCTAGTTATATAGCTCAATGATAGGCCATTTGCCTAGCATGCCCAAGACCCTGGTTCTTATCTCCCCCAACACACACACACACACACACAATTTCCTACTTAGAATAAATATGAAAATCGAACCGCAATAGGCCTGCATTCTGAATTGGCATCATAACTAGCCTGAATTAAATGGCTTTCCTCACATGGAATGGGGTTCAGCATCGTGCCCAGGGTTAAACTCTCCCATTCTCACAACTGAGTTTAGGTTTCAGTTCTCTGAGAAGGGCAAAATAGGTGTCTCTCCCACCAAAGGGCCATTTACCCACAATACCCTTGCATTCAGGGACAAGGAAGAGAATTAACACAGGGTCTAAACCAGCCTCAAATCTCAAGGACAGATCCTGCAGCCCCCTTCGGAGTCACGTCCAGACTTGCCCAAGCCTGTGCAAGTATGTCCAAAAATGGTAAGACTAAACCCCAGCCAATTACAAGAATACTAGTGTAACTGCTGCTTGTTTAACCAGTCATGTATGAGATGACCGAACTGTCCCTGAAACTCCCCTTTGCTGTGCTTAAAAGGAGCCTGCACGCTCCTCTCGGGGTCGTCGCCATTTTGAACAGGTGAACGACCCCGCATGCATGCTGGAATATTAAACGCTCTTTGCTCTTACATACTAGTTGAGTCTGGGGTCTCCTTCAGCGTTTCCTCGGACCCTGACACCAGTCCCTGCTGTCACCCACTGCCCCTGCCTTGCTCATCTGTCTTGCTGACTAACCCCACTAGAACCTCAGTTCTGGGTCCAGTGGGCTGTGCAGCCAGCCCCCACGTCCCTCTTTCCGAACAGGACTGAATGGGAAGGAATAGGAGGCAGTGGCTTCGGAGGTCGCTCCCTGGGTTCAAACACCACCTCTGCCACCTGTCAGCTACACGCCCTTACGTAAGTTAGTAGATCTCTCTTTGTCTCCTCACCTGGAAAACAAGAGCCATGACACTACAATAACTTCCTTTTAGAGACTTAGACGTGCTTACCTGTGTAAAGTATAAAGGTCTAGGCCTTCTCTGGGTCCTCTCCCCCTCCCTTGGGTCCCAGTGGCATCTGTCAGGGCCTCACCCCGAAGCTCCAGCTCTACCAGGCCACTCTCGTCCTCCAGCCCGTCAATGACCTCGCAGCGGTAGCGCCCAGAGTCCTCCAGCCGCAGGTCCCTAAGCTCCAGGGACACCTCTTGCGGTCTGTGCTGCCACAAGTGTGCTCGCCCTTGGTAGTCCCCGAAGGAGCGGTGCCTCTGCCCGATGGCCACTAGCACATCCTGCTCCGGGGATCCATTCTCGGACAGCTTCCACCACTTAACGCGCACAACGTGTCTCGGGGACGCCAGGGCTGGCTCATAGTGGTAGCGGCAGGGCAGGGTCACACTGGCTCCTCGGTGACTGAACAGAGACTCCTCAGTCGTCTCCACCACCAACTTCACTCCGTTGAACAGGCCTGGGGGTAGCAAGGTGGGGCACAGATGCAGCAATGGTCTTGCAAGGACCATTCACACCCTCCTCCCAAGCTCCTCCGGACTCACGTGTTGCAGGATGCAAAAAGAGCCACTGTCCCCCACCCCTCCAAGTGCCTGCGGCTCCCCTCCTCCACACACCCACTGCCTCCACAAATGTGACTTTGTGCCTACTTCCACTGAGCTGTGTGTGGTGGCAAACACCTGTAGGAAGGCTGAGGCAGAAGGATTAATATTAGTTTGAGACCAGCATGGGCTACATGCAGTGAAAAAAAAAAAAAAGAGGTACTATCAGTTCCTTGAATTTGTACTAGCCTTGCCATCTGCTTTCTGCTTGAATGAAAGGTGGAAGTGACTGTCCCACTGTGCCTGTTCTGAGGCTTGGTCCCAGGAGCTCTTGCTGATCCTACCTTCTCTAGGGACAGCGATTGCCAGTCACTATGTGCACAAGCCCAGACTTGCCTGTCTAGAGCACGAGAGACCATGAAAAGCCGAGTGCATCCTCCTCAGCTGGGGTCATCCTACACCAACCACCTGCAAGGTGATCCACTACCCAGTAGCAGGTCATCTGCAAGTCGTGAGGTGGGATAGTTAGAAGACAGAGGGGACCCGAGGAAAAACAGGCCCCCTTGCTCTCCTGCTTTGGATCTCCGACTGTCCCTGACTGGCACAAGGCATCTCAGCATCACTGCAGGAGAACTACACCTCCCCTTCCTGAGAAACATCACCAACGACAGTGTCAGAATAGCTAATGAGATCAAAGAGCTGAGAATAAGAGACTTGGTGTTCAGCCCCACAAGGACCACCCATGGCTCCGAGAACATCTCAGGAGGGGAGTGGAAAGACTGTAAGAGGCAGCTGATGGGGAGGAATTTTGTCTTCTGGACATGCCAAGTCTATTGCGCTCGTGAACTCACAGTGGCTGTGGTTACCTGTGATCACGTGTACAAGATCAAACCAGCCAGAATTCTGGCATAGATGCTGGAGACGATCTCCGGGCTTCATCCCTTACTGAGGAGCTATTGGCAGTCATTGGTTGCTGGGGGAAGGAGAATTATTCTCTGTTGAGGATGTGGCCCTGGTAGGATTCCAGTGGATGGCCCCACACGGGTGTACATATGGGTAGCATTAACTAGACTTAATGGGTTATAAAAAAAAGTGGTCAGGCATAATAGTATACACCTTTAATCCCAGTACTCGGGAGGCAGAGGCAGGCCAATCTCTGTGGTTCGAAGCCAGCCTGGTTTGCATAGCCATGTTTCAAGCCAGCCAGGGAGATAATATATTAAGACCAGTATCAAAAAAAAAAGATTAAAAAAAAAACATGAAGTTGGGGAGGGCGACATTGTGAGATACAGAAAAGTTAGAGAAGTAAAATGGGAAATAGATTTGATCATATTTCATTGTATACCTATATGAAATTCTCAAAAATAAAGAAAAGGGGGGAACCAATTTCTAAAAACAGCTAATAAGCCATGCCTCGACTCCAGCCTCCTTGTCTCCTTATGACCCTTGTATGAATAAAGGTCCCTCTGACCAATGTTTTCTCTACAGCACTCCCTTCCCGAGCTGCAGCTGCTCAGTGAGAGAATCCTCCTTGTAGATTAAACAAGGAGGTAGACAGCTAGACCAGCACATCCCTTCCCTAATATCTAGGCTCAGCTACAGACTCGGTGGCATCATGGTCCCCAGATCCCACACACAGCGACTGCTGGGACTCTCAGGGACACTCTCCCAACACCCACACCGACGCACTTCAGTTCATCTTATCCGTTTGCTTAATCAATAAACTCTGATCTGTCCTAAAATTCTTTTTGCTGCACAGTCTGGCGATAACTGAAAATAGTCCCACCCACCACCCCATCCCTCCCCCCTCCCCACCCCCAAGACTCAGAGGGAGACTCAGGAAACACACAGAGTTGTATTCCCCCAAGAGAGGCAGGCTGTAGGACCAGAAGAAACAGAGCTCACGCCAAAGTGTTGAGCCACACAGGGCTCCATTAATGGGTGTGCTGTTAATCAGCTGTGTTTGGGGCAATTTGTTCTCCACCAAAAGCTAGCTGACAAGCTAAGCGTGGTGGCTCCTGCCTGTGATCACAGATCTTGGGAGGTGGAGGCAGGAGTGTCAGGACCTCAAAGCTATCGTCAGCTACACAGAAACTTCCAGAGCAGCATAGGGAGCTAGGGGTGTAGCTCAGGAGAGTGCTTGCCTGTAACACGCACAAGCCCTGGGTTTAGGCCCCAACAGTGCATCAAATCAGGGGTAAAGGTATGCCTGTAATCCCAGCGCTTGGGAGACAGAGTCGGGAGGATCAGAAGTTCATGGCTGTCCCCAGCTATGAGTCAAGTTTGTTGACGGTACACAGGCTGCATGAGACCGTCTCACAAATAAATAAATAAATAAATAAATATAAAAATAAATTTTTTTAAAAAATGAATTTTAAGTGCTAGCTGCTATGACCGACAAGAACTTCACCAAGGGACAAGATGGCTACAGTGAGTGTCCTGTCTCAAGTGTTCCTGAGTCCCCTTCATTCCACAGTGCCCCGCCCCCAGAGAGCACAGCACACCCTCCTTTTCACAGTCTGGGCCAACTGTCCACCAGGGCTCCTCCAAAAGACCCAGCTACCCTAGCCAAGACAGGAGACTGTCAGAGCTCAGGGTACAAATGACAGAACTCCCTAAGCAACAGAACTAGGTTGGTGAGGTGGAACTCACTGCAGGGACACAGTGACTGCCTTCTCAAAAGTCCCCTGCCCAAGGCCACCCAGCTGGAAAGAGGTACCACTGATATTCAGACTCACATCTCCGTGACTCCAAAGTCCCTTCTGCAGGGAAGACCAGGGGTGGTGGCACTTGGGCTGGATCTTAAAGAAGTAGCTGTTCTAGGAACAAGGGCCACCCCAAGAGAACTTGGTCCCGTGTCTCTGGTACCAGCAAACTCAGAGTATCTATCTAAACCATCTCTTCTCATCTTAGAAGCAAGGCTGATCCACCCTTGGAGGCCCAGCCAGGAAAGATCTTGCTGTCTCCACCCCAGGCTGAAACCTGCCTATCACAGCAGGAGCCAGGGGACAGGCCTAGGAGCCACCCACCTTCCCCGTAGCCATTGCCCAGGGCCCTGCTATGCAGGCCATTGGAATAGTAGAAGCCGTTGTAGAATGGCAGTCCCAAGACACAGGACAGTGGCAACAGCAAGACAAGGAACCGCAGGCCCATCCTGGCCAGGGTGGTGGCAGTGCCAAGGTGTCTTGGATGAGGCTGGGCCCAAGGGCAACTGTGGAGAGAAAGAAAAGGAGCCAATTACAGAAGCGTCACTACGGGGGGTCTGGCACTCCTCTACATGCATCCTCTCACACATACTGCATCACAGAACATCTCTGCGCACCAGGTGCTGTCCTCAGAGCGCAGCAGGCAGCTAGAACAAGCTAGAAGAGGTGTCCACTGCATCCCTGGACAATAAACACACAAGAACAGTTTGAATTTCAAAGGTTGTGAACAGCACCCTTTAAGAAAAACAGAGGAGACTAGAACAGAACATTCCAGGGCGGGGGTTCATGTTTAGTAACAATAAGTCTGCACCAGAAAACTTTGTTTCAACACAGAAATATCTGTGTGGGGAGGGCTTTGACAATGTGACATCTGTTTTTAAGACTAGATCAAGGTCACAAAGTATTTGAGGGGTAAGATGGCTCTGTGGGTAAAGATGTCGCCCGCACAGATCTGACAACCCAATCAACTTCTGGGAAATGGAAGAGAGCCAACTGCATAATTTTGTCTAACCTGAACACATGCACTGCAGTGTGTGTGTGTGTGTGTGTGTGTGTGTGTGTGTGTGTGTGCGCACATACATACATATATAAATATTCTTGGAAGAATTGAGTTGGGAGGGGTGTTGTTTTAAAGAGGGTTTCATGCAGTGAGCTTGCCACAGAGGATGGTCCTGAACTCTTGATCTTCCTGCCTCTACCTCAAAAAGTCTTAGCAATCAAAGTATGATCTTTTAATACATTTTAAAAACAAAACGAACAGACTACAGCCCTTGGGCCAGCTGCATCTTGAGTGCCTACCACCACGGGAACGGCTCCACAACACGCTATTTGTGTACAACTCTAATCCCAGCACTGGGGAGGTGGAAGCGGGAAGATCAAGAGTTCAAGGCCATCCTAGCTCACATACGGAGTTTGAGGCCAGCCTGGGCTACACAAGGCCCTGTCTAAAGGTGGGAACACCCAAAGGAACATTGAAGCCGAGCAATTTTCAGGGTGGAAAGCACAGGCTGGTCCTGGCAGGGCACAGGCATCACAAGGTGCAGAGGCCAGGGACAGGCATGAGGGATGCTCTCCCTTTGTTCCCATGCACTCCCCAGGTCCATTGTCACCACCACGTTTCCACCCCTGTGGGTCACATGTCCTGCCCCCCCCCCCAGCCTTCTGACTTCTGGATTTAGTCAGTGGGAAGCACCCACGAGATGGGGGAGAGAACAGTATGTCCTCCCCACCCCTCCCCACTGCAGTGATCACATCCTCCCAACAGCCTCCCAGTCCTCTGCTCTATCCCTATCATTACTCTCTAGAAGAGATCCCTTGATGAAAATCTCCTTGTTGCAACCATCTGGAGCGAACTCCGCTTCCTGCCCAGCCCCTGACTGACGTGGGAGAAGGAGGGAGGGAGTGGTCGGCAGGGACTCTGTCTGAATGCCTTGGGAGGAGGCGAGCCTGGATGTCTACTCTCTGTCCTGATACCTGCAGATGAAAGCTTCAAGTAGATGAGTTCAGGGGCCAGACTCGCATCTTAGAAACACCCTTCTGGAGGCAGGCGGAGGCAGGCTTCAGTGCAGCAAGACCAGGCCTTCCTTTGCAAATAGAACTGTATGATTATTGCGGAGGACTGTGGGAGGATGCTCAGGGTGTCATTTGTGACAAAGCAAAACACACAATTGCCACAATGATTGCAAACATATGGCCTTTTGAGAATGTCTGTGTACAAGACCAGAGGAAACAGGGGGAAAGGAAGAGAAAGTGAGGGGAGGGCAGGGGAAGGGAGGGGAGGAGAGCTGAGGAGAGGAGAGGAGGGGAGGGGAGAGGAGAGAAGAGAGAGAAAGGAAGGGGGAGGGAGGGATGGAGGGAGGAAGGGAAAGGAAAAGAGGGGAGAATGCAAAGCAAACATTGGCCTTTGAGGGTGAGCAGACTCTGGAAGGAACATTCTTGTTTCCTAAACAATTAGTCCTTGATGGAAAGGAGGAATAGATGAAGAGGGAGCTGAAGCTTGAATTCACTGCCTTCTTTGACGAATTTGCAGAAAATCTGAGGTCTAAGCTTAGTTACTGTGCTACACCAGGACGGAGCCTTGCTGACTCCACAAAGCCTCCTGCTCAGAACTAGAAGATCCCTGTTCAGAAGCATCTCCACTCCAGCCATCCCTCAGTATTAATGGGCAGTTTTTCACAGGCCCCTCATGGGCACCACTGTCCAGGAACACTCTGATGGAAAGTGGCATCACACTGGCATATCGCCTCTCCATATGCTCCCGTACACTGCAAGTCATCTCTAGGTCACTTTTATCGAATCCTGTATAGTAACCATTTTTCCGCTTGACTATCCATCTGTGGTTGGTTTAGAGTACTGATGCAGATACACAGAAGCCCACTGCTCTTCGCTGTGTGACTCTGAGCCATGTCTGCAGCTGTATGGTGGACACCATAACCCTTGCCTGGTGCACTTCTCCCTAGCAGGTCCCAGTCTCCTCTGACAGTGATAGGATTCTAGATACAGGTAAAACAGCATATGATCAGAACCAGCCTGTGCAGCGTCTATGCCTGCAGAGAGTACTGGGGGCGGGGGGGGGGGGGGGGGAGGCATGCCCTGATATTCTTTCTCCAATCTACTGTCTCCACAGAAGCCAAACCCACAGCCACCCTCCAGCCTGGACATCCTCTACCGACAATGGCCCAGGCACAAGCACCCTTGAACATCAACCACCACACAAGAGTATTTGTGAACACGGCTCAGCCTCGCTGTGTTGATGACCCTCATTCACGTCACGCTGTTACAGTTTGAGTGTGACACAACCTCATAGGCCGTGAGTATAAACACTTGGTCCCTGTCTGGTGGTGCTGTTTAAGGAGGAGGTGGAATGTGGTCTAAACACAAAATCATAAAACTTTCTGAAAGCATTGCGAGATTTGGGGGTTTGTTATGCCATATGCGTGCGGTTGCCCCTGGAGACCAGAGGTGGTGTTAAATCTCCTATGGCTGGCGTTACAGGTGGTTGTGAGCCACCCAATATGAGTGCTGGGAAATTGAACTCAGGAGCTCTAGAAGGACAGAAAGTGCTCGTGAGTGCTGAGCCCTCTCTCTGGCCCTGTGCCTTTTTATTTTTATTTATTTAGTTTTTAATTTGATGGCGTGGTTCTCAAACATGAACTATGTAGATGACCATGTCGTACCTCAATGTCAAAAGGTGAGACACACTTGCACTGGTCTTAGATGGAGGAAGTGGGATTGTGGAGCATGAGGCCTTATGGGCTGTAGACCCACCCCAGTTCCATCCGCATCTGTCTACTTCCTGCCTGCCGGGGTGATGACCGGCTACATCACGCTTCCACCGGCCCAGTCGCTTTACCAGCACGTCGTCCTCACCACGGTGGACTGTATCCCCACAAACTGTGAGCCAGTCCCTGCCTTCTTCACACTGTTTCTTGTCAGGTATTTGGTCTCTGTCTCAAGAAAGTAACTGGTGCACCCCAGCTGCTAGAGTAACAGCAAGAGCAATTTCACAAGCACTTAACTATCGCACCGAGTCCTCACTACAACTCTCCAGGTGAGGTTAGTAGTGTCCTTATTTGTTTATTTAACGTGTTTTTGAGACAGGGTCGCCTCTATCCCAGGCTGGTCTTGATCACAGGAGTGCTGAGGGATAAATCTAGGGCCTCGTGCATGCTAAGCAAGCAGTCTACCAACCAAGCTATGTCCCCAGCCCGGGATTCCTGCTATACAAAGGAGAAAGCCAACGTAAAGACTGCCCCAGGTCATCCAGCTAGGACGTGTCAGTCAGAATGTGAACCCATTCCAGCTCCAAAGCCTGGAGTCACCATGCTAAATGCAGTGAGAAGATTGTGGGAGACTCACGAGTGCCTGCTGTAGAGCTCTCCCTAAACATTGTTGTTTCCTTTCCCTCCCGTTAGACTCCAGTTGGAAACCAAGAGGAAACCAGGCTGAAGAATCAGATGCTTGTAGATTTAGACAGAACTGGGTGACCCAGGGCCACCCTACTGCTGACCCAGAGGCCTTTCTGGGTGGAAGGGCTTCTAGCCTCTTAGATCAGTTCAGCTGGGACCAATGCTCCCTGGTGCTCCCTGGGACCAGTGCTCCCTGGGTGTCCTTTGTATCCTTAAAAAAAATGTGCATTGTTGCAAAATTATACACTAAAAAATTACAAGGTCAGAGGAAAATAGAGCCGACTGCTCAAAACATGAGACTTCAGCACCCCCAGTGCTAAAGGGAGCAAAAGCAGCCCTGTTCACAACTACCCACAAGCACTACCTGATGCCACACACCTGTAACCCCAGCCCTGGGGAGGCAGAGGGAGGAGGGGGAGTTCCGGGCCAGCCTGGACTACACAGAGAAAGCCTGTCTTTAAAAACAAGTAAGGCCAGGAATTATTCATGCCTATAATGGGAGGTGGAGGGCACCTGATCCTCCAATCAGGTGTTCAAGGTCATCCTCAGCTACATAACACATAGCTAGTTCAGGCAATCCTGGACTACACTAGACCTGGTCTTGAGAAACAAAGCAAAGCAAAAACGGCACAGTATCACAAGTTCTCTGCCGACTCGGGGACAGAGGGCAGGTCCTCCTGCCGTGGGGCAAGTGCTTCCTCGTTGTTGATGGAATTTCTTGGAGTGCACTAACATTCCTGGAAGCCAGTTCGGTTTCCAGCACCCACATGGTGGCTTACAGCTATCTGTAACTCCACTTCCAGGGAATCCAACACCTTCTTCTGGCACGTGTGGCACACATAGATACGCAAGCAAAACACTCATACACTTAAAATAAATAGATCTCTAAAAAGCAGGGAGGGGGTGGGAAGAAGAAGAAGAGCCAAGTTTGCCAAAGTGAGACATATGACCAGGGTTGGGATGTCATTCCATGATAGACTACTTGCCTGACATGCTGATGCCCTAGATTGGATTTCCCCCTCTTCTGTATTTTGTTTTTATAATTCAGGACTGTCTTGGCATTTCTTCATCTTATTCCTGGTTTTATTAGAAGGCTGCAGGTGCTAAATTCTAAGGTGATATTTTATTTGTACTGAAATGTGATTTTATTTGTATGTTAATAAATAAAGTTCCCTGGAGGGTCAGAAGTAATAGCAGAAGTCTGGCAGTGGTAGCACACACCCTCAATCCCGATCACATGACAGACAGATCTCTGTGTGTTCAAGGATACCACCAGCATGGAGACACATGCCTTTAATCTCAATACCAACCATAGAAGACCTGGAGGTCTGTATAGATGGGCAGTGAAAAGGAGGTCATGTGGTTGGGTTTACAACCAATGAGAAGGCAGAATAGAAAGTCAATAAAAAGGACAAACACACAGGAAGTAGGTCTCTTGCAGAGAGGTAGGACCGCAGCGGCAGTGAAGGGTAAGGTTTCTAATCTCAGCTCTTAGCTATTGCTCTGACCTCTTGGCTTTTAACTCTGTATTTGGCTCTGTGTTTCTTATTTAACCAGATGGTTACATCTACAAAATTCCCATAAGCCAGTCACATGGGTCCACTACCCTCACCCGGTATCCCTGAGCCGTGATGGTGAAAGTTGATTTGGGACTTGGGCTTAGCAAGGATTCTGAAACACCCCCATCTGTTTGCTTTCTGAGCTCTGGACAGTGACCCACAAGCGTCTGGATGGTGAGGTACACCTGTGCAAATGCTGAATGACATCAGGCGCTTGCTGTCAGCCTTCATCAGAATTCACACAACAAACTGCTCCTCGGCAATTAGAAGTCAGTACTGGAGTGTCTGCTCAGGTATTGGGGAAATTGCTGCCAAATCGACGCGATGCCCCGTTACACTGGCCTCACACCTCTTCATTCCTTCTCTCATGGAGAAGGTAGCCACAGTTCACAAACACCTGCAACCCCCTCCAACACCACAGAGTGTGAGTCCCCAAGGCTGACTTTCCCAGCCTCAGAGACCCTGGCAACACTCACAACCTCCAGCCTGGGCCCCAAACAAGCTCCCGAGTTTTTAAATGAACTCCTACATCTAGCACCTCCCCCCGCCCCGCCCTCCCAAGAGGCCCCCACATCGTAATTGGCAAGGAGAATTTCCTTCTCTCCATTGAATCCACAAGTGAACAGAAACACAGAGACACAACTACCCAACAGGCACCCAGCCAGGAAATGACAGGGGTAGGATTCTCTTTAGCTGATGTGAAGTAGGACCTGTCCCTCCAACTGGCTGTGCACCTTCCTGGCTACAGTTACACACACCAGTATCAAAAGCATTGTGTGCATTGTACAGACAAGAAAACGGGGGCTCAGTAGTGCAAAAAACACAAGCCTACAATTGCCCTCAGGGAGATGAAGAGCTGAGATCTGACCTCATTTTCTCAACAAATATTCCCCATGCTTCCACCACAAGCTAGGCAGGCAGAGTTCTAGGCAATAGGGATTCAAAGCAGAGTACTCTTGGGCTTCACCGTCTAACAAAGGTGATGGTAGACACAGATGTGATTGTAAATGATAGGAGGAGATGGAACAGGGAGATAAGTGCTTACTTTTCTATTGACATTCAAAGGAGGGTCTCTTGTAGCCCTAGGTGGTTTTGAACTCTTCATGTTACTGAAGGTGACGTTGAACTTCTGATCCTCCTACTTCCACCCCCCAAGTTCTGGGACTACAGGTCTGGCCCACTATGCCTAGTTTATGGGGTGCTTGGGATGAAACCCAGGGCTTTCTTGAATGCTGGGCAAGCTCTCTACCAACTGAGCCACAATCTGAGCCCTGGGTGTTCCTTGATCCTAGGTCAGGAAGACTTTTGAGAAGATGGGAGCCCTGAGACTCCTGGGAGAAGAGCCCTGCAGAGAGCTAACAGCAGAAAGAGTTCAGAGGCCAAAGGGGCTGGAGCCCCAGGGTACCGGGAAGCAATGTCCATGTGGTGACCAGGGGCCCTGTCACGTAGTCCCTTGGACTTTTTAAGAAGGAAGGCATGAAGCATCATCAGAAAAGGCATGGCATGAATCTGATTTACAGTCTTCAAAGGGTGGCTCTGGGAGACTTCGGACCTCCAATCAAGTGTGCATCATCAAAACCCTGCACATCAAACACAAAACCAGCCTCTCCCCGGGCCCCTCTGACCTCAAGTGCCCTGAGCACCCAACTCCCTTTAAGTCCGACTTTATTAGCACTTATGCAAGTGGAGGGTGTGATGTCAGCCCTGCAGGTGTGTAGCCTTCCACCAGGGGGGCGACAGGACAAATAAAAGTTAGCAAGAGAAGATACGCCCCGTGTCCAACAACCACGCGACAGGGGAGAATTCATAACCCAAATTCAAGTTAGACTTGCTGGCTTTGAGCCTAGGCTCCACCACCTTCTGGGTGACCCCGGGCAAGTCATCTGGCCTCTTAGAACACAAGCCCTCCATGCCGGGCGGTGGTGGCGCACGCCTTTAATCCCAGCACTTGGGAGGCAGAGATAGGCGGATCTCTGTGAGTTCGAGGCCAGCCTGGGCTACCAAGTGAGTTCCAGGAAAGGCGCAAAGCTACACAGAGAAACCCTGTCTCGAAAAACCAAAAAAAAAAAAAAAAAAAAAAAAAAGAACACAAGCCCTCCACCTTCTGAGCAGACTGAAACTTGGAGGCTGAAGACAAGGGTGGCCCCAAAATGCTAAGGTTAACCACAGAGCAGAAGCCTGGGCCAAGCCCCTCTGTCACTAACGCACCTCGGTTCTAGCCATCCTACACAGCCATCAGCCCCTTAAGACCGCAGCACCACCACCGAGACGGGCTGCTTGGATTCTCTTCTGACTCTCCATTTCCAACCAGTCTGGCCGAGTCTCCATCTCTTCATTCATAAAAGGGTCCACACTGCCAGAGCACTGTCTGATGGAGACAAACCCTCAAACAAACGTCGGCAGCTGTGACGGCTGCTAGCAGCAGCGGGCAATCTTTCTCCTCTCTCAACAACCAGGAGAAAAACAGCCACCCTGGGCTTCTCTTCACAGTTGAGGAAGAGTAAACCACCCAAGGCTTTATTTATCTCTGGCTAACATCTGAGATTTAGAGGACACCCGAGCCCTTGATCACCAATCCTCTGCCTTTCCAGAGCACCGATGGCCAAGAAGGGTCCAAGGAGAACAGAATTAACAGAGTCCACCACCTCTACCATTGTCACGCGGCAACTGAGCCATTGATAAGTATTAGCCCCCCAGACACCAGCAGAGGGCAGGATTGCCCCTCCCAGATGCACCAGGCTAGTTCAGGAAGGGATGTGACACCAATGTCCCAGTTACAATCAGGCTTTATCAAGTCTTTGAAATTCTGCCGCCATCACCCGCCAGGTTCTGGCCGAGGCAATAGAGGGGCGTTTTCCACCGGCATTTCCAGGGCTCCTGGTGCAAACCGCTGGAGGGAAGGCAGGGTGCCTCGGGCAGTCACCTCTCTCTCACAGGACTGAGGCGTTCCCTGGGTCAGCACAGGAGGCCCTATACCAAACAGGGGCAGCCGGTGACCACCCAGCGAGCTGGGGGTAGGACTGGGTCCAAGCGCCTGCGCCTCACCTTCCTGGTCTCCCTGGGAGAGGCCAGCTCGCACCCAGGGTTTGTCCCTAGGGCAGGCGCTCCAGGTGCTCGGCAGGACAAGCCTGCGTTTGTCCCCAAGTGTTCAGAGTGGACTAAAGGCACGCATCCTCAGTCCATCCCCACGCAGGTTGCTCCCAGTTCCCATTCCCTCCTCCTGCCAGGGTCTCTGGTGGCTCCCGCTGCAGCCCACTTATGGCTGGAACAGTATCCCCGGGGCTCGCTGCGGTTTTGCCTCTTGGTAGCTCCCAAAAGGGTCGCACCCAAGTCAGCCTGTACGGCTGATCACATGACAAACGAGCCCCTCAGTCTCCAGTTCCCTCTGCCCCCTGTTCCCTGTCTCCTAGCCCCAGCCTTCCCGGCAACCGCGGGGTTCCCTAGATGAGATGGGAGAAACTTGCATGCACAGAGCCCCGGAACACAGTCAACCCGAGCCACGTGTACCGTCCCCAGCAGGCTCTTCGACGACTCAAATGCTTGGGACCACTGCGACACGCTGAAGCCACAGGCTGTCCAGGTCTGAAGTAGCAGAAAAATCTGGGATCCTGAATGGCCCGAAAAGAAGCTGCTTCCAACAACCTCGCTCTCCCGGCGGACCAACCCCTTAAAGGTACACAGTCCCTTTCCCTCCCCAAGGCCTGGCCCCCAGGGAGTAGCAATTGTTAGAGCTGGAGTGCAGACCCCAAACCTGGAGCTGCAGGCTGACGGAGTTGTGACTGGAGACTCTGATGTGGGGGAGGAGTTCAAAGGGAGGTGGCAGAGAAGCGTTTGTAGAAGTGGGAGGTCCCATTAAAATGTCCAGGCTTCTAAAAAAAAAAAAAAAACTCCTTAAGCGCTCTGCGGGTGGGCTATGACTGCCCCACATGGTTCAAGAGGAGTACTTAATGTGTGCCTGCTTCCTGTAGAGAGCTGAGGGGGTGACAACCTTCTGCTGGAGGTCGGGCACCCAGAGAGGGCTAGCCACACACATAGACCTGCCCCTAGGAGGTCCTGGGGTGGGGGTGAGCAAGGATAGGACGGGGTACTCCTTTTGCAGGGCTCCTGACATCTGTCCCACAGGCAGCCGATTCCTCAGGATGCTTCTGTTTGGACAGGGTGTTTTCTTTCCTGTCCAAAAGGCCTAGTTGTTTCCTCAACAGAGAAACCTAAGAAGGTCCTTCAGCTTGGGCTAAGAGAAAGGCCACAGGGTCAGGAGCCCAGGCTTTCCTAAACACATCTCTAGATAGCCCTGACCCCCTCCTCCCTGTGTGCGTGCGTGTGTGCATGTGTGCATGCATGCATGCGTGCGCGTCCATCCCACCCAGAGACAAACCAACACACAGCTTCCGTGGACTAAGTTCCCTCTAAAATAAATGCCAGGCATTGAGGCAAAGAGGAGCTGTGAAGGTTCCCCTGCAGGTGAGGGATGGAGCTGACCCGGGATGGACTGATAGGGAATAAAGGGGATACAAGAAGCAATGAGGAAGCTCCCTCAAGCCTGAGGCTGTGGATGGGCCAGGCTTGGCATCCGTGCTCTGTGTAATCTTTGTCCCAGCAACGTCACGGACTCGGTTTCTTATTTCCATTTTATAGAGGCCCAAAGGCCCAGTGTCACTCAGGGCTAGGATATGAACCATGTTCGTCTGCCTCAAGGCTTTAAGCGCCTGGTCACTCTACCACATTGAAACTAGGGAAAGAAAGGAGCCTAGACCCCTGGCAGAGGCAGGGTGGGTGCTGACAGCCTCTGGTGGGGGCAGATGCATGGTCATCTGGAAGGGTCTATTGTCAGAGCATGTGATAGGGTGGTTCAGTGGGTAGAGAGAATATCAGGTCCAGTTGTCTAGAGTGCGGACAGGAAAGGCAAAGAAAGCCAAACTCCATGTAAGGGACTCTAGGCTAGGATCCCAGAAAGCAGACTTCCTCAGGGCTGCGGTCAACAGAGGCAAGGCTACAAAGCTAGGAAAGGGACCAAGAAACAAGCCTGGGCCATACTAGTCTCCCACACCAGGTGGGGGGCTTGTGCTACCATCTGCCCACCCACCCACCCAGCAGTCCAGCCAAAAAGACTGGCCCACAGAAATGGCTATGCGGTCTGACATTTCTCTCCTGTGTAGTGAGTTCCCAGGAGGCAAAGCCATCCCAGGCAGTGTCAGAAAGGATGCTTCTCCTATCATCAGCTGGTCCCCAGGAAGGCTAGAGCAGGGCCCTGGGGTAGTGTCCTGAGGAGGGAGGACTGAGGCCAATAAACCCCAGAAAGACTAGATTCTGAATTCAATCCCAACTCCAGTGGAACGCTCAAGCAGCAGGGGCAGGCTCAGATGCCCTCGGGGTTGAGCCGTGTCCTGTCCCTCTTTCACGGGGAGGGCACCACTGAGCCTCTTACTCTGTCCTACCCACAAGAAGCCCTGGCGACAGTGGGCAGCTCTCCGGAAGAAGCACTTCCGGGTGAGTCCCTGAAGTGCTTCCAGCCACCCACTTGTCAGTAGCTGCCCTCCTGCTCCCCGGGGAGCCAGTGTGTGGCTCCTGAAGCTTGGCTGGGACGTAGATCTTGAAAACCAGGGTGATTTCATTCCGCCTTTTCCCAGCCAGCTAGCCACCCCTCCCCAGATGAGCAGGGCATAGACCAGCATAGCTCCTGCTGGCCACTTATAGCCCCATGCAGAGCAGAGCCCCCTTTCCTCCCACCAGTGGCCTCTGGGAAGTGGCATGCTCTTGACCACAATCCCTAGTTGGCGACGGCCTTACCCCTTCCACACTGCTCCCTGCCCAGCCCACCAGGGCCCTCTTTCTCTGAAAGCCAAGTCCACTGGGTTTTTAAAAACTTCTCCAGACCAGCACTAGCATTACAAAGAAAATGGAAACTGCCAAAGGAGAAACCAGCAGCCAGGCCTGGCCTGCCTTCTTAGTGTGGGAAGGGAGCAGAGGCATTCACAGGAGCCACATCTCTGCCAGGCCCTCCCTGGCCCTTCACCAGGTGGCAGCTGCAGGCCAGACCCAGAGCAGTATGGAGGTAGAGACAGGGGAAGATGTGAGTCAGGCTTGGAGGCGAGGGAAGCCTGCTCCTAACTCCACCCATCTCCCACTGCTCCTCTTAATCTATTTGCAGTCTGGCAAGTGGCACAGGAGTACTGGGCACTGGAGGGCAGGGGTAGGGGTGGGGGCGGAGAACAGTACTAGGCCGTCTGGCTTGGACAGGGCAATGAGGAAGCTCAGAAGTTCCAGTGGCGAACACAAATGTATTTTGGAATCTGCCTATTAGCTTGAGTAGCAAGCCAGCAGAGGCCCCACAGCCAGCTAGCCAACCAGCCAGAGCCCACCTGTCCCCCCCCCCCCAGTCCCCTTGTCATCTGAGGCCCCAGAGCAAGGGTCAGGAGGGGTCTCAGCAGCTGGCGACCCGAGGGGCAGCAAGCAGGCATGGGCCTCCTCTTCCTGGAGGCCTGGAATGGAACGTGGGGGAATGTGTGGTGTGCAGAGAGGGGCGGGGAACCAGGGGTCCCTTTAGTCTTGAGTCAACCCCTGGCAGGGAGTTTAGGACTTGGGGCAGTTGGGAGAGATACAGTTCACATACCCGGACTTTACTCTTCTTCCCTATTCATCTCAGACCTATCCAACTCCCCCAGAACGCCTGAGAAAAGGGGCTAGCGGGAGGCCTGTGGAGGCTGCAGGGTGAGGGAGGACAAGTGTGAAGGGCAAGTCCCCCTTCCTGCTTCCGGCCCCAGTACAATCAGGAGGAAGGGCTGAGAAGGCAGTCAGCCACGGAAGGCAGCAGGGCCCAGGAGGCAGGGGTGGGAGGACGCAGCCTCTGGCCCTTCCGGTCGGTCGTTCGGGCTGGAAGGACCGAGCACTAACAGCCAAGCAGCTCCAGGCGCAGAGTGATGCGGTTATGCCAAGACACAGGAAGGACACGCACATAGCGGGCCCTGAAGGGGGTCTCAAAAATGTTCTTCTTGTGCGAGTTGTTGTCCGAGTTGCCATGGAAGACCTGAAAACCATCGGCATGTCAGGAGTACCCCACAGTCGGGCCCCTCTCCACCCCCCCTCAGAATCCCACAGCTCCCCAGGAATTGCATCCAGACAGGACACCCACCTTGCTGGTCCCTTGTTCCTCATACACGGTCCACTGCACACCGTCATTACTGTAGGCCACCTTGTAGGATGCCACGTACTGGATGTGGCCAAAGTCACGGGCCCCCTGGGTGATGATTCCGGTCACTTCCTTCTGAGTGCCCAGGTCAACCTACAGAAAAACACTGTTCTAGCTTGGAGCCTCTTCAGGAAGGTGTATAAGCAGACACACTAGGGCATGACCTGTTAGCCTTTTTCCTCACTGTGCTGGCTAGTCTTAAGTCAACTAGACACAGCTCGAGTTATCTGAAAGGAGGGAACCTCAATTGAGAAAATGCCTCCATAAAACCCTGCTGTAAGGCATTTTCTTAATTAGTGATTGATGGGGGAGGGCCCAGTCCATTGTGGGTGGTGACATCCCTGGGCCCGTGGTCCTGAGTTCTATAAGAAAGCAGGCTGAGCAAGCCATAAGGAGCAAGTCAATAAGCAGCACCCCTCTGTGGTCACTGCATCAGTTCCTGCCTCCAAGTTCCTGCCCTGTTTGAGTTCCTGTCCTGACTTCCTTCAATGATGAACAGCAATATGGAAGTGTAAGCCAAATAAACCTTCCCTTCCCAATTTGCTTTTTCGGTCACGGTGTTTCATCACAGCAATAGTTACCCTAACTAAGACAGTCACCCATAAAATGAACACAAAGCCATGTGCAGTGGTGCCCACCTGTCACCCCAGCACTTGGGAGACTGAGGATGGAGTTGAAGGTCAGCCTGGGCTACACAGCAACACCCTGTCTCAAAATATCAAGACAGAGGATATAGTTCAGTGGCAGAACACTGGTCTATCACACCCAAGCCCTGGGTTCTATCTACCACAAAAAATGTAATGTAAAAAAATATATAAAAGTGCATAAATAATACACTTTGACACACCAAACTCCAGTTTAACTCCAATAAAACTCAGTGAAGTATATTTCAAAGGTCCAGGCCAACTCTGCCAGCTCATGCCTTATGGGTATACTGGGGTATGATGAACAGGCTGAGAGGCCACAGTCTACAGGGGTGGGAACTGCCTCTGAAGCCTGCCAGGCGGCCTGGAACCTTCTGTGGTACTGAGAGAGAGCCCAAGAGCAGGTGGCTCCTAATGAAACTATGCCTGACTGAGCGCCTGGACCCACAGGCAAGGGTTTGTCCCTGGCCCCCACCACCCTAGGAACTGACCCCTGGACAGGCTGTCGCCAGACCCAGGCTACAAGCCCAGTTCACCCCCGACCAGCAGGTGAGCCCCACACAATCGGCGAGGCCTCAGTTTCTCCATCTGCAACCCTTAGCTCTGTTTTTTTTTCCACCCCCTCTGAGATTTCCCAGTTACACCGAGTGGGAGGCCACCTGTGCTTTGCTCAAGTGGTGAGTGAGGTCCTAGAGTACCCTCTGCCATCCTGCCCTGCTGTCCACAGGTAAGCTCTGCCAACCGTGTGGCGGCCGATAGGGGCGGTGCTACTCCTGCGCGCGTGCGTGCGTGCGTGCGTGCATGCGTGCATGCGTGCGTGTACATTCACACCCCTTCTCCACTTGGGGGCCTTGGTGGAAGCAGGACCAAAGAAAAAGAGCAGCATGAGAGGAAAGAAGAGAAGAAGCAAAGACAGTCTAGGCTTCTCGGGGGGAACCCCTTGCAGAGCGTCTCGGGAAACCCCTTGCAGAGCGGAAGGAAGGTGGGGCGGGCGGAGGTCACAAGCCCCACCCACTCGCACCTGCAGCCACTCTTTGTTACTGTTGCTCTGGGCAGTCCAGGCATTGATCTTGCCCTGCATGTCCAGCCGCCCCAAGTGGGGGTACCAGCCAAAGGCACGCAGGTTCCAAGTCTTGTAGCTGCTGGAGGCTGTTATCTGGCTGTCAGGAATGGAGTTATTCTTCAAGCCCAGGGGCTCAGAACATCCTGTGGGCAAAAGGGACTGTCACCAGTAGGTGTAGGTAGGGGACAATAAAGGAGGAAGGGCGGTGGCTGAGGCCTTTCGTCTGGTTTAGTTTGGGTTGGGTTGGGTTTCTGAGGTGGAATTCCATTCCCTTCTCCTGCTGCTGGCAGCAGGGCGGGCTTAGACTCGCTACGCAGTCAAGGAGGACCCGGAACATCTGATCCTCACCTACACCTCCTGAGTGAAGAAAGGACGGGCACGCACCGCCACATCCGGGCTATACGGTGCTGGAGACAGAACACACGGTTCTCCTAAGCACTTACGGAGCGACAAGCCAGCCTCTGATTTTGGTTTTTGAGCTGCGTCTGGCTGTACTGCCCAGGCTGGCCTTTGAACTCCTGGGTTCAAGAGGTTCTCCGGTTTCCAGGACAGCCAGGGCTACACAGGGAAGAAACCCTATCTGGAAAAACCAAAAGCTCCTCTAGCCTCGGCTTCCCCAACAGCAGGGACTAGGCCACCATGCCCAGCTTGGCATCTTCTTGGACAAAGGAAGTCCTGTTTGTCTTCCAAGGCCAACTGCTGTCCCCACACTGTCTCTTCACTACAGTCGGCTGGACTCAGCTCCAACCGCCACCCCACCCCAACTGGCACCTAGAAGACCACCCGAGACCTCCCGACCTGGCCAGACTCACAGCACTCCCTCCCTTTCTCTCTGAACACAGGTAAGTCAAGATGCCTCACATGTCTAGGGGCTTCCTGCCATCATGGATTTACTCTCGCCACAGACTGCACTGAACAAGTAGCCATCAGCCACCTCATTCTGTCCGTGAGAAACTTGAGGCAGAAAGGCATTGCACACTGTGCCCACACCTCACACACATGATCCCGACCACCACACCAGATGTGAGATCGTCCCCCATGCTAGGACCTGTGTGGGGCCACCAAACCCTCCTAACCCTCCAATAGCTAGTGAGGCCCAGGACGTCTTGGAGTTCAGGGCCGCTTCTGTGTCCTTCCTGAAAGCACTCCCGAAGAGCCAGTGAAGGGCCTTGGCACACCCCAACATTTCTGGCCTGCTGGTGTGTATACCCAGAGAGTGGCCATTGTTTCTTCACTCAGTCCCCAGGGTCACTCTCAGGAATGAACAGACAGGGGCTGAGCAGGAAGTAAAACTCCTGAGAGGATGATGTCTCTCTCATATCCGGCTGCATCCCCACCCCACCTGTGTGTTACCTGAAGAGTTGAAGGGGGAGGAAGGCTAAGAGTCACGCTTCCATCTTAGAAGTCCGTTCCCTCACTGTCCCTCTGATGCCTGCCTGCCTGCCATTTTCCCCCCAATGATGCCGAAGGTGACTGCTGAGCCATCCCCTACAGAAGGCAGAGGCCAGGCAGCCATCACCCTGCTTCCACAGAGGTTACTGGGCCGTGAGCTCATTCATCCTTTGCATCCAGGACAGGGACATTCTGAGGTGGTCACTGCCCGGAGTTGCTTTGCAGAGACCATTCTCATCTCCTTGGGGTGCCCCTGTACAGCCACCCCTGCCCAGGGCCTCCCGGAAGGCGAACTGCAGACTATGGCCTTGGGAAATGCAGACGTCCTTGGCCTCTCTGTGAGTTAGCCTCTTCCTCCTCCGTGACGTGAGGCTCTCTGGAGATCTCCCCAGAGAGCACAGGAGATCTTCCAAACAAGCAGACCAGACATGGTGTGCGTCTCTGGGACCCTGGCACTCGGCAAGCTGAGGCCGAAGAGTTGCGAGATCAGGCCAACCTGGGCTGAATAGCAAGACCCTGTCGTCTCAGAAAAATTAAAGAGAGACATCTCGGGGATGTAGCTCAGTAGCAGAGTGTCCGCCCTGGCTTCAATCACTCGTACTGGAAATTAAATTAAACGAAAATTGTGTCCCCGCAGGTCCAGGGTCGAGTGAGAAGATGCTGCTGCTGAAACGCTGGCCCAGTGGAGCTCATCACTCTCCAAGCCTCCCTGCACACTCTAGGAGCTAGCCCCTGGATTTCTTTTACCCTCCAACAAGCTCCACCTTTGTCCTTGCAATTCTCCATCTAAAACACTCTTTCCAAGATCCCCCGGGACTGGCTCTCCAGCTGAAGAATCTGGAGACACTGCCCCCATCACCACCACTTCCTCCTCCAGGTTCTTGCTGCTAGCCGACCTTTCCCCTTCCATTCATTTACTTATTTGTTTGTTTATTACGTGTGCCCGAGGATGTGTATAAGCACCATGTTTATTTGTGTGTGGGGGGGGCTGGGTGGAGGTATAAGCACTGCATGTGTGCAGTACCCAGGGAGGCCGGAAGAGAGCACTGGATCCACCAGGACTGGCCTTACACATGGTGTTAGCCACCTGACGTTGGTGCCAGAAACCAAACCCAGGTCCTCCAGAAAAGCAGCAGGTGCTTTCAACCACTGAGCCATCTTGCCCAGCTCCTGCCCTTCCTTTGATTTGCTAACCTCACCTCTGACTCCCTTGAGAGAAAGCAAGTTTCATGAGGTCAAAGGTCTCACTTGTATGATTCCTTCAATCTAGATATTCAGAGGGAACTTAGGAAATGTCTAAATTAAAGGTAAGTCACCAAAGTTACTGTCTGCTAAACATAACAGTCCTGTCGCCTTGTGGATTCCCAGGACACCTGGGCCTCACCCCACCTGCATGTACAGTGCGCGCGCGCACACACACACACACACACACACACACACACACACACACACACACACGTGCGTCATCATTCTCCAGCTGACAGGCCATTACAGAGAAAGGTGGGCCAGGCCTGGAGCCAGGCAAATGACAGCCCTGCTCACTGCTGTGAGGCTCGGCCTGCCCCACTCTGGGCCTCAAACCACTCACGGCTTCACTGCCCTGGCAACTTTGAGAACCAAAGGCCCAGGCCAGACCTGGCTCCATCCTTTGCCAGACACTAAGTCACATGATGCAAGAGGGGAAAAGACTCCGGGAGAAGGATAACCTTCCTGGTAGAGATGACATTCGGAAGAAAAAACGGGTCTCTCCATCTGACTATCGGACTATTGAACAACGGACACCAAGAAATGTCAAGCTTCCCCAGGAATCCCATGCTGGGAGAAGAAAGGGGCATGAGCTGGGGTGTGCCTCCCTGAAAAAGATTTTACACATCCTAACAGCTGTCAGACCAGAATGAGACAGAAGCCCAGACAACGATGAGTCAACAGTGGGCAGGTCCGGGCCTCAAGACTGCTTAGGTGTGCATGCCCCTGGCCCTCTAGTGAAACTTCAAACTCACTTCAGGACTCCAAAGATGGACTTGAGGAGATCACTGGATCTCTGTCCATCTTCCCTCATACGGCCAATAAAAAAATCTCTTCCCACTTTTTACTATTAACTTGGACATTTCAAATGGCTTCCTGAGGACAGGTGGCCAAGTCTGGCTTCTTGTGGTACAGACTGTGACCCCAAGTTCGGTAATAGGAGCGTACTAGTTTAACTCCATCCTTAAAGGGAGTGGGGGACATTAATGGCACACGCCTTTAATCCCAGCACTCAGGAGGCAGAGGCAGGCAGATCTCTGTGAATTCCAGTCCAGTCTGGTCTACATAGTGAGTTCAAGGACAGCCAGGACTATATAAAGAGACCTTGTCTCAAAAACAAAACAAAATACCAGGGCTTGGGTACAGATCAGTGGTAGAGTGTGTGCCTGGCATTCACAAAGCCCTGAGTTGCCAGCACTTGAGGAAGAAAAAAAAAACTACTGAGAGGCAGAACTCAGTCTGGGTGGTGCTGGGTGGTATCGAAAATGAAGTAACAGGAAACAGTGCCGTGGACAGGGAATGGAGGCACAGCCGGGCATACCAGCAGATCTATAAAGATGATGCGATTTGCAGCCCAGCGGAGTCAGCACTACAGTTACCCTGGGTGGCCAGCAGGTGGCACTGTGGCTGCAAAGAGAAACAGGCCTCAAAAGAGAGAGGGGGGCCTGAACTAGACAGCAATATCGGTCTGCTCGACCTCTCCGGTGGGTAATCTCCCTGGCTCAGCAGCAACCTGTCCCTTTTTGGTCCCTTGTCTGTAGAAGCTCCAAGCTCTAGGGTCCTAGAAGCGCCTGCAGGACTGCTCAGTGCAGGTGGCAGACGCTCGAAGGGCAAGCACTAATGCTTACAACCTTCCAGCCGGGTATCTTGGATGAATAATACATCTAGGCGTCCTTTCATTCATTCATTCATTCACCCCCCCCATCAAAGATTTACTAAGCACCCACGTGGCTGAGGCCCTGGGGACACAGCAGCAAAGAAAACAATTGCCTGCAATTGTGGAATTCACTGCCTGTTCCAGAAGCACCAGGAACCAAAATAAGCAGAAACACTGAGAAGCAGAACGACCGTCCAAAATGCTCAGAGCAACGGACGGGCAGGCGGCGGCGGCGCATCGCCGGGGCATGACTCTGTGGGACACTCTCCACAGCAGCTCCTGAGCAGCTCACCAAGTAGGGACAGAGAAGGCCACACCCCAGCACTCACCATGCAACTCACAGCCCAGGAGCTCGAAGCGAAGGGTGCATCCTCGGTAGCATGAGACGGGGTAGAGCCGTACGTACTGTGCCTCCAGAGCGGGGCTGAACATGTTAACCTTCAGGCCACTGTTGTCCAGGTTCCCCACAAACTCCTAGAAGGGAAGGGGTAGGACCGGAGGAGGAAGTAGGTTTGCCAGCCTGCTCCTGGACCTCTTCCTCTTCAGGCCTGAGAGGCCATCATAAAATGGTGCCCACTTAGCAACTGAATACCGTAGCCCTGAAAAGTTCAGACTGAAGCCCAGCTCCACCACATCCGCCACCCTCACCAGGTCATGGCACTACTGTGAGTCTCTGTTCTTATCTATCAGGTGAGGTTTACGTCCCATCACCGGAGAACATGAATACAATCTGGGTCTGTCCATTTCTAGGTACCAAGGGACACCTGAAGATTCACCTCAACCCCATCACTCAGGGTGCTCTTGCTTCTCCGTCCGTGCTGGACGCTTAGGGGTGCTGACTTCAGCAGCCCCTCTTCAGGCCCACCTTGTGTCCAGATCCATTTGCATCCTGGATAAACTCGAACCTGCGTCCATCGAGGCTGTAAGCCACCTTGAAGGTCTTCAGGTATTCTGCCCTCCCCGCGCGGCTGGCACCCTGCGTCATCACACCTGACACCCGCATCTTCCGCAGAAGGTTCACCTGGACCCCGGCCGGGGTGAGAAAGGTTGTCCCCTCATCATCCAGCTCTTTCCACCCAGATCCAACTGGCTAGCTCACTAGTTCCTTCTCCAAGGAGCTGGCTTTCTCCTCTGAGGTTCTGGAGCCTGTCTCTAAACAGCCCGTGAGTGTCAAGACCTCCAGAGGCCTGTGGGTACCCAAGCCCCTCCACCAAAGGCCATCTCTCCTCATACTCTGCCCACCTGCTCCAGGCCCAAGGATGCCCTCCATACATAGACACTTCACTCATGGTCGCCTATCATCCTGCATGGACCAGGTTCTGAGCCCCCCATCTCCCAATGCGGCCACATTCACCTGTCTTCCCTATCACTCTGCCCTGTATCTTTCTCCCACCTGGATCCAGGGTTTGCTGTCATAGTTGCTGGCCGTCCACGCGTTGACGATTCCTGTGCGGTGCAGGCGAGCCAGCTCCGGGCCCCAGCGCTGCAAGCCCATGAAACCCACATACACGGACGAGGCGGAAATCTGTGAGTCGGCAATGGCGCCCCCTTCCATGCCCAGCTTTGTAGTGCAACCTGGAGGGGAGAAAGCGACCATCAGGGCCCTAATCCAAACTTCTAGAGCCCAGCTGCGACCAGAGGACAAGAGGGAAAAAAAAAAAAAAAAGCGTGGCCTCTGATGAGGACCTAGAGACAGAGAGAACCTCAGGCCCTCACGCAGAGCAGGTAACACCGCGGGACACCGACACCAAGTGGAAGAGCAGGTGGTACGGGAGGCACAGGAGAGGAGGGGTCAGCAGAGGTGACTCACGGGAGTTTAGGTCGTTGGAAAGACCAGGGTTGGGGACCGGGGTGGTGGGGATTTCTGTGGTGAACAGGTAGTCTTCTTGGTTGTAGTAGATGGTCTCATTCACTGGTAGGAGAGAAGACCAGGGTGACTTCTTCCTCAGCGTCCCCAGCCCTGGCTCGCCCAGGAGGGGTGGCTTCGGGAGAAGAGTTGCCTTGGACAGTAGCGAACAGCAAAGGTTCGCCACACAAAGCGGTTTTCCCTTCATCTTCTCAGGGTGTGTGGTACTAGAGATGAACCCTGACCGTGCTAGGCAAGGCCTCTAACCACTGAGCTACGTCCCCAGTCCTTATCGTTTTGAGACAGGGTCTCTCTCGTCTCTCTCGGCTGCCCACGCTGGCCTCGGACTTGTGATTTCTCCTGCCTCGGCTCCAATTGTAGGCTTTTGGCATCACACCTGTCGCTATGTGGTACTTTCAAGAATCTCACCGGCAGTTTTCTGGGGAGAGTATGAACACCATTCTGCTTCCTCCTGCATCCTTTGCACCTTCGACCCCCAAGTCCTTACCCACCCATCCATCTTTGACCATGTCCACCAGCCACAGCCACATCACCTCTGTATCACCAGCAACATGACACCAGAAACTCAGGACAGTGATCAAGCCTGTTGGCAAGAGTGCCTTTCCATCCCTCTGGGCACCCGTGGTGGGTGCCCAAGGCTTCTGCTGCCAGGGGAACCCAGAGGTAAGCTACAGGAGGTAAGATATCCAATGGGGCTGGACACCCATGATCTGGGCCAGGTGGACCCAAAGATGCAGCCTTGGCACTGGCACCAAAAACAGTGTAACAAACAAAGGAGTGTGAGGTTCCTCTACACCCCTCACCCCTGCAGCCTATGTGGGCACCACCTACCCTCTGCTCCAGGTGCCACCATCCGGCCTAGAGCCAACTCCAGACCTGGCAGCCCAGAGAAGGCTGTGTAGCTAATTCCCACACAGGTACACCATGGTTAACGCGGCTCCCACCTAGTAATTAGCAGGCTTACCTGGCTCCACCCAGGAGGCCTCCATCTGCCTTAGCAACCCAGAGCTCCCCCATTCTCCCCCTCAGGATCTCAAGCTCATCTGACTTTAGTCCAGTCTTCAAAGACCAGGCCTTTCTTTCCTATGTCTCCTCTCAAGTCAGGGACATCCGAGGCACTCTGCCCACATTCCACCATCCTGGGGCCCAGCACCCACACAGCTGGCCCAGCTGGCCTCCTGCTATAGGTCAGCAAACCTCAGAACCCAATGCACACCTGCCTGAAGGCAGGGAAGAAGCCAGACCTGCCCTGCCCCCCAGGACGTCCACTGCCTGACCTGGAGATAGCTGGAAACAAGCCCCCCCCCCCCCCCCACACACACACGTTTTCTCTCTCTCTCTCTCCCCACTCCTTCCTCCCTCCCCTGAACACACCCCATGTGACAGAAAGGATGAGAAAGGCCCTGGTATGCTTGGGGCAGAGTTGGGGGCAGCATGGAGAACTACCACCAGCAATGTCAGCTGGCACTCACCCAGGCCACTCTGGGGCCCAGGGGATAGCCAAACAGGTCAGACAGGGTCAGCTCCTCTTCCTGTGCTGGGCCTCCAGCCTTCCTACGACATAGGACAACCCAACCTGCCCAGATCTCCCCCTCCTCCTGGACCCCTGTGAGAAGACCACACGGTCCCAAACCTGATTCACTGAGCTTCTGGGCTCCAAGCTAAAGAGCACGCCTGTTTCTTCTTCCTAGCAGGAAAGTCCCAAGATTTAACTCTGACACTGTATGTCTCTGGCTCATGGACTCGGGAAGTGGCATTCCCATGACCTCAGGGTCACCACACTCTAATTCCCTTGCAGTGACACCAGCCCTGACCTGAAGTCCCAGGAGAGAAAGCTAGACCTTAAGCCTGGTACGGGACAACAGGGTCCTCACTGAAGTTGTGCCCATTCCTCAGACTCCACAGAGGAAGGCTCACCACAAGTACCTGCGCCCAGCTACAGACCCCTGGTACTCACTGATCTCACAGTGGGTGCCCGAGTAGCCCAGAGGGCATTGGCAGATGTACTGAGTGAAGATGTCTCCTCGCTGTGTGTCCCCGGTCACTTGGCATTTGGCATCATGGTGGCAAGGGTTTGGAAAGCAGGGTCCTGGAAGCAAGAAGGTAGATGAGATGGAGACGTGGTCAGAAAAGGGCTGAAGACAGACCAAAAAGCAGTATGTGACCCAGCCTCATCGGATCCCTCCAAGTCAGCCCCTTTTCTTCCCGACCCCAATCATCCTGGACCCAAGAGAGTCGCCGAGAAGATGAATTTGCCCAAATACTGGAAGCACAGGCTTTTCCAAGTAGCTGCGAGTTTCTACTGGAACACAGGCTACCCACTTGGGAAGGGACGGGGGAGGCAGGCCACTGGGAGCAGGTACCTGTCTCAGTCTCGTTGCACACAGAGCCTGTGAAGCCCTCGGGGCAGAGGCAGTAGATGTCATTGTCTTGGCCCATCAAGCAGGTCCCACCATTCAGGCACAGGCTGGAGTCACAGAAGTCACCTGCAACAGCAGTCCGATCATTTGGTGAACGGAGTCCAGCTACCACGAGCACACGCTGGACTCCTGAGACAGGAGTTAGCAGTTATCCTATGCTCAAGAAGTCGGGAACTAGGGATGTAACTCCATGGCAGAGCACTTGCCTAGCATGTGCCAGGCCCTGGGTTCGATCCCCAGCACTACCAAAAAAAAAAAAGAAAACACGGGCTAGAGAAATAGGTCGGGTTAAGAGCACTTGCTGATTTTCTGGAGGACTGGGGTTTGACTCCCAGCATCCACATTATGTCGTTCATAACTGCCTGCAACTCCAGCTCCAGCGGATCCAAAACCCGTGGCCTTCTCAGACACCTGTACTCCCATGCACATATCCCCACAGAGACAAGTGTACATAATTTTAAAAAAATAAATAAATCTTAAAAACTAAAGGGGAGCTTAGAGAGATGGCTGAGAGATTAAGAGCACGTACTGCTCTGGCAGAAAACCCTGCTTCAGTTCCCAGCCCCCACATGGTGGCTTCCGATCACCCATCACGTCTGTTTCAGGGGATCTGATGTCCTCCTCTGACCTCTGAGGGATCCCGCAGGCAAGTGGTGCACACATAATACACTCACGCTCTCCACACACACTGACAATAAAGCCAATATTTCTTTAAAGACAGAATGGGAAGGATGGAAAGCTGAGGAAGGAGAAAATGATATTCTAGAGAGAAGCAGACACACTGAGAACACGGTATGCTGGAGAGAACGGTTCCGATGTGACTGGACTTAGACCAGGCTCAGAGGGACCTTAAGAATGACAAGTTTCGATCATAGACTGCAGTCAGTCAATAGCTTTTAAAGCTTCCTTAAGCTTCACTGGCACTGGCTAACAAGTCTCTCTCTGTGTATCTCTCTCTGTCTCCTCTGTCTCTCTGTCTGCCACCCCACACACCCTCTGAGGCCAGATCCAAGTCCGAAAGGCGGAAGGCTGAAAACCCCATGAGAAGGCTGGCAGGCCCCTGAAGTGTAGGAGGAGGTCTGGTGGCAGCAGATGAAACCCTCAGGTTGAACAGTGAGGACGCATATCAGGACACCGGGAACAGGAGCTGGTGAATTTGAGAGACTCCATGGAGCATGGACTGAGGAGATGGGGGAAGGCTGGGGGAGACACCAGAGCTTTTGGAGAGCCTGTACGACAGATGTGCACTGTCCACCAGGATGGAGAACACAGGAGGAGGGGCGGGGTGGGCTGGGCTGAGCTCACCGGGCCTGTGTGATCTGAAGGACTATACGCAGCTCAGCCAAGCAGCTGGTAAACCCACCCCCCCTCTCCACGCCCAGAAAGGGACTGGAGGCACCCTGCCTCGGAAGCTCATCTTACTCCCCCATCTTTCTGGGGGTCCCTCATCACTGGCACCAACCAGTGAAAAACAGCCCCAGGTCTGCTGTACTGAAGAGGGTCCTCCGCACGACCTTAGCATCCTACTGGACTGGACCCTTAACGTGGCCCTAGAATCGAACCTAAGAGATCTCTTCTCCTCCCCACAGTGGCCCATCCAAGGCACAGGGGCCCTCCTCAAAGCCCAAGGCCCAAGGGAGGAGCTCAGGCTCCCCAGCCGGAGGCAGGCAGCACCATTAACGAGCACCAGCTCACATAGCTCCACCTCAGCAAGGGCCTGGGGATCCTAAGGAGCTGTGGCAGAACTATTAGTCACAAGCTTTAAATAGCAGGTTAATCCCCTCTGACCTGGAAGGGCACAGTCATAGCCTCACGTGGAGGCTCTGGAATGGGCAAGGCCTAGGCACCCCGTCCCAACAAAGGCCTCTCTTCCAGCCCTCCCTCCAGCTGCAGGTGGGATCAAACTAAGGATTTGGAGAAGGAAACTAAGTGGAAGGTGGCCCAGCAGCCCCCGGTCTTAACTGTCTGGGCTGAGGCTGGTCACCTGCATGTGAGACCCGGAGATGCTAGCGCCTCTACAAATCCTATAGGATATCAGGGTACTGCTCTGGGAAGCGTCCTTTGGGACATTTGGTCAGGGTGTAGGTTGTGGGGAGTGTGGGAAGAGGGGTGGAAAGGGTCAAGGGAGATCCAAGCATCTCTCCAGCTGAATGGAAGGCCCAGGAGTTCCCAGTTCGTGGAAGCTTGAGGCCCTCAATGCCTTCAGCTCCATCCCCGAGGTCAGGTCCTGTGCTAGGCGACAGAGCTGGGCCCAGCTGTGGTCCCTCCTGCCTCAGCCAGTCCCGTTTCTATGAGAAAACGAGGGGTTGCTTGAAGAGCCCCTGAGCTCACCCCGCCACACGTGGGCACTGCATTCTTAAGATGAGCTCCCCAGCAGCATCCTGCAGGAGGCCCATATGTCTACCGGGGATCTCGGAGAGGGGGAGGAGGGCTAGGGAAGATTAAACAGGCAGCCAAGGCCAACCGGGTGGGAGGAAGCCCTTTTCTAAATTCCTGACCAGCCCCACCTACAGCCCAGTCTCCTGCACCGGCTTCTCAATCCTTCCACCCCTTCTCTGATCAAACACCAACAAGTGGGGGCGCAAAAGTTCACTGGATTCTCCAACCAGGAGGGTTCCGGAGAGAGTTGCGGGGAAAGTTGGTTGGAGAAGGGTCGGTACAGGAGTCCTGACTCTCCCAAATGGAAGGACTGGAGAGCAAACACAGTTCGGTGGCCTCATTTTACAGACGCGGTAAAAAAGAGGCACGGCGCAGCGGATTCCTTTGTTATGTGTAAGTCACATCCCTGAGGGGAGGCAGGGCTGTCACCGGGTGTCCAGGGTCACCGCCCAGTGCGCAAGCCACTATCACTGCCCCCAAGGTCCCGGCGCAAAGCGCGCAGAGGCTGAGCACGTTCGCCGCTCCTACCGCGGCGCAGCCCCTGCGCGGGTCCCCTAGGCTCTGCTCAAGTTTGTCAACAGTAAGGGAGGAGGGAGGGCGCCGCTGAGAACTTCCGAGCGGCGGGCAGACTAGGGGCGAGGCTCAAAGGGCGGCGCGGGGGACTCACCGGACGCGGCAAAGAGGCCGGAGGCGCAGAGCAACACGCCGCACAGGGCGGCCAGCGCACGGGAGAGCTGCATGCTGCAGGGCGCGGGAAAGGACACGCACACTGATGCCGGGACCCGCGGGCTCCTGCGTCCGCTTCTCTCGCACGGGAATAAATCAGGCTCTCGGCCCCGCCCACTGGCCCACGTGCTCCGCCCAGGCCAGCCCCTGGCGGACTCTGGGCGGAGCTCCGAGACCACAGAGGGAAGAGGGAGGGCTGAAGTGGGGGTCCAGAGCCTCAGCCTCCCGCCGAGCCACGCCCTGCATCCGGCTGCCAGCTCCCAGGCAGAGGCCAGGTCCCGCTTCTTGAGTGGACTGGACAGGGAAAAATTGCTCAGGAGGAATTTAAAACGTGGCTCAATGATGGAGTAGTGCTTCCCTAAGCATCCTGGAGACCCTGGGTGGATTCGATCCCCCCAACCAGCCAAGATAAATGAATAAAACAAAACAATCCGGGAGTGGTGGCTCATGCTTGTAATTCCAGTATTTGGGAAGCGGGATCAGGAGGATGGGACACCAGGTCCTGTTGGACGCCAGTGTGGGCTCCATAATGGCACGTTCCAGGTTAGTCTGGGCTACAGAGTGGTACCCTGTTTCCAAAATGTATTTGTTTGTTTGTTGTTTAATTAATTAATTAAAAAACAAAAGCAGTTTAGACTTAAAATGCTAATGCTTGCTTGTAATCAGAACAGCAGGTTCAGACTACAATGAGTACTGTGTTTCCTTTATCAGATTGGCAAGTGTCAAGTTGTTAACAGCGGAGGCTGTGGGGCAACAGGCTGAGGCACGCGCCCTTGGACAGAGTAGGAAAGGCAGCTCAGCTTCTTTATTTGGTAATATCTTTCAAAATGACAAAATAGCAACACCTTAAGACTAGCACTTGAGGTCAGAGATACTCATTCCATTAGAAACACGTGTGTGCAAAATGATACTATACGGTGACATAACATTTTCAGAAACCATGAAAAGACTGAAAAAAAAAAAAAAGAAATTGACAAACTCGTGTTAAAGTTCCAAATGGGAAATATTGCAGGATTTCGGCTGGGTGTGGTGGTTCAAGCCTGTAATGCCAGCACTCTGGAAGCTGAGACAGGAGAACTGTAGAAAGTCCAAGGCCAGCTTGGACTTACATAGTGAGCCCTCGGCTACCCTGAGCAACAGAGACGCTGTCTCAAAATAAATCAATAGACAGACAGACAGACAGATGGATATTAGATAAGTAAAGATAACTATCTGGCTGAGAAGATGGCTCTGTGAATAAAAGCACTTGCTGAGTACAACCTCAGTTCAATCCCCCAGAAACCCTCGGGAAAGCAGACAGAAGCAGAGAGCCCGACTCCGCAAAGCTGTCTTCTGACCGTCACACCCACACAGTGGCACATGTGTGCCCACATACCTACACACACTGATGATAATAATAATAATAATAATAATAATAATAATAATAATAATACAATAAAGTTTAACCAAGTTTCTGGCCTGTAATCCCTACACTTGGGAGGTGGAGAAAATCAGACCAGGAGTGGAGTTCAAGGTCATCCTCAGCTGGACAAGGACTTGGAAATCCAACTTGGGCTTTAGAGACTCTGCCTCAAAATAATAATAACTACAAAATGATGATGAGACGACAGTGGAACATTTTAGGATTTGTGGGCTATAAGATCTTGGTGACAAGTAGCAGGAACAGCCTTGTCGCTAGACGGCACCTTGGTCACAAGGAAATGAGCATTATGGGGCTGATAAGAGGAAAGAAATCCGAGCCTGAAGGAGAGGGGCTTGTCACTACTGACTAGCCGTGGAGTCTTTATTCTTGTCCCGTGCAAGCACAATCTGTTTACACATAAGTATTTTAGTAATAGTACTCTAGTCTGAGTCGGAAAGTGGAAAACCAAGAGCAGCCCCACAGTTCCTGTACTAGCTGCACACAGATCTAGGCGGGATGTGTCAGGAGACGCTTCATAAAACTGCTCTGAAAGAAGCCTGGTGTGTGAGTGCCCATCTGTAATCCCAGCACTTGGGAGGTGGGAGCAGGTTGATCAGGAGTTTAAGACCGTCTTTGGCTATATAACAAGTTTGAGGTCAGCCTAGGCTACATGAGACCGTGTCTCAAAAATGGGGGGGGGAGCCTGAGCCCCAGAGGTGAAAGGTAAGTCTCTATTGCCGAAGAAGACACCATGCACTTCAGGAACAGAGGCCTCTGACCTGGAACCTGAATCCCTCCTCCCTGAGGACGATCAAAAGGTACCATACAAGCTTGAAAAGGAGGGAAGCAACCAACAGTCCTACTCAGCTCTGATGCCTATGAACCACAACAAAGACCAGCATGGCATGATGACCCCATGGGTACAGTAGTGACAAGCATACCTTAGTTGTAACCAGCAGTTCTCTAATTGGACTTAAGACCCACTCAACAAGAGATAAACCGTGCCTGGAACTGAAAATAGCCAACTACTGACAGCTAGCCAAGGCATGGATCTTGGAGGAGAACCTACAGCCACCACTTTACTAAACCAGCAGAATCCCTAACTGCATTCTAAGTATTTGTCCTTATACCCACAGACAAGTGTAGTCCTCACCCCTTATCAATGAAATAGCTCTTTGCAACAGAAGGCGATTGTTACAGAAAACCATAACCAATTAAAATGCAGAGCTGTGGAGCCCAGTCCTAATGGATACAACACTAAGACACTCCCACACCTAAGGCTCGGGGAACATTTTAGAAGAGAGAATGGAAAGATGGTCAGAGCCAGAAGATTGGGGAGCTTGCCGTGAGACTGTGTTGTCAGAAACTACACCCATAATCTCACCAATATGAATGCCTAAACATGAGCTGAACAAGAACACCACCAATAGACAAGCCAAAGTGGCCTGGGGAAGAAAGCCCATGAGGCTTCAACCCTTCACAAAGAACTACAGGCCACTGAGAAATGCTGGGGTGGGAGAAACAGTCATCTCCAAGGAAGAACACAGCAATTGGTTATCCGGTATGATCAGCCCTGAAAACATACACACGAGTAACCTACAGACTGGGCAGGTTATAGCTAGAGATACAGATACAGACACAGACAGACAGATAGACACACACGCGCGCGCGCGCGCGCGCGCGCACACACACACACACACACACACACAGAGGCATGCACGCACGCACGCACGCACGCACTCACACATGTGTGTAACAGCAATTAATGTAAAAAGAGGCCACAGTTTTGAAAAAGAACAATGACAGATATACAGGGAAGTTTGGAGAGAGGAAAGGGACCAGAGAAATGTTATGATTATATTATAATCCCCCCAAAGGGGAAAAAACCTTATAGAACTGTACATCAAAAAGTGCATTTTGCTGCATGCAAACTTAAAGCAATTTTAAAATAACTTGGAAAATGTAAACTAGAGACAGAACAGGAACTCAACATCAATGCATACTGCTTAGGACTGAAAGTCCAAACCCAGTTCAGTACTGAGCACAAAAGGTTACAGGGTGGCTATCATAAAGCCATCAAAAAGATGCCTTACTGGGGACACAAAAATAAATGACTCTTCAACAGGTAAAGGAAGAGGAGGAAGAAGATAAAGAAGATGAAGGAGGAGGAGGAGGAGGAGAAGAAGAAAGGAGGAAGAGGAGGAGGAGGGGAGAGCCTGGAGAGGTGGCTCCACTGCTACTAGCATTGGTTGCTCTTGCTGAGGACCAGGGTTCAACTCCCAGCACCCACAAGGCGGCTCACAACCATCTGTAACTCCAGTTCCAGGGGATCCCACACCATCTACTGGCCTCTGAGGGAAATGCATGCGTGTGATGCACTAACATGCACATAAGGGAAGCACTGATGCACATAAAATAAAAATAAACCTTTAAAAATAAAAGTCCTGCTCCGAAGGGACAAAACAACTCCCCGGGCAAAGGAAAAACATGAGTAATAGTCAACAACAGTCCATGACAACGCCCTCGGCACATTGGGAGTAAAGGAAACTTCCTCAAAGGTCCTAGATGCCTATAAACAAACAGCTGATACCATCACTAAGTGGGTAAGGCCAGGAACCAAACAAGGATTTCTGCCCACCACTTCCTCCAAAGTGATACAAGAGATGGGAACCTGGACAATCAGGTCAGAACCAGATAATATATCCAGGTAGAAAAGAAGGAAGTAAAATGACCACTATGGCTATTCACAGATCACATGATCATATATGGAGAAAATTCAGAAGAATCCACACACGAAACTATGAAATTATGCAACAATGAAAGCTCGTGGATGTGGTGAGCAAGGCTGCAGGACACAAGATTACTATGCACAATCTCTCTTTTTAAATTATACTTTCTCTCCTTATTTGTTTATTTGGGAGAAGGGACACCCTCATGCCATAGCACACTTGCTGAGGTTTGAAGACAACCTTGAAAACATTACCCTCAGTGAGAAAAGCCAGCCACACACAAAGCCTCAGTGGGCACAGACCTGTGATCCTTCAAGGTTGGAGCAAATGGATAGCAAAAAAAACTAAACAGCCCAACAGCCATGTGGTGGCTCACAATCAATCTCCTGTCACCCATACTGGGGTGGATTTGGTGATGTCTTTGAGTCATTTCTGCTACTGTAAGTAATCTCTCACCCATACTCCTGTAAGTAACCCTGATAAAACTCATTGGTTCACCAGTTGGACTTTGGTAATATCTGTACTTTGGTCTGTCATGAGTTCCCTATCTGGAGTGAGTAGATGTATGTGTTGCATCTCCCCAGGAAAAGTTTTGTCACACAACAGAGTATTAGAAGCCCCTGAAATGTACATTGTACAAGGTTAAATACCATATGAATTATATTTTAACAAAAATATCTATAGTTCTTGGCTGGTCCTGGTGGCACAACCCTACCATTTCTTTTGCTTCAGAGCCTGAGGCAGATTAAAAGTTCAAGACCTGGTCTGGTGGTGGTACACACCTTTAATCCCAGCACTCAGAAGGCAGGAGCAGGCAGGTCTCTGAGTTCGAGGCCACACTGGTCTACAGAGTGAGTTCCAGGACAGCAAGGGATACACAGAGAAACCCTGTCTTGGAAAAAAGAGAAAGAAAAGAAAGAAAGAAAGAAAGAAAGAAAGAAAGAAA